GCGATGGCGGCGGCGGTTTTCGTGGCGGCGCGGCTGCTGCGGGGCTCCTCGGCCTGGGGCCGGCGGCGGAGGTGAGCCGGGCGCCTTTTGGACGCGGTGGTTCGGGGGATCGCGGGGACAACCCCGCCTCGAGGTCGCTTCCTGCCCCCCACGGCCGGGCCGCCTCGTCCCTCGGGAAACGTTGTGGACCGCTCACCGCACGGCCGGGTGCCGCGGGGGTCGGGTGCGGACGATCGCTGACCCAGGAGTCTGCAGTCGGGAGTCGCTTTGACGCAGCGGCCTGGCGTTTGTGCTACGAAATGGGAAAGGGCCGCGACGGTGACATCTAAGCCAGGAGATGGGGCTTGGGACTGGGGCGCCAGCGGTGATGAGCCGACCTTCCCCGAATTGTGACCGGGATCTCCCTGGAAGGGGAGACAGAGGTCAGGAGGTCCTGGGCCGTTCATAGCAGCTGAAGGCGAGCTGTAGAAAGGCAGGGTTGCCCAAGGGCTTCGGTGCAAACTGCTCTCAGAGTGAGTTCTTACAAGCCTGTTTCCACACGTGGCAGTTAGGACCAAAGAACGGAACCGTCTTGCTTTGGGTCCGGGCTGAGCCTGGGTCGTGGTCGCCGCCGGTGTTGTCCCTCATGGCATGTGGCAACGCACTGTTGACTTAATTCCGACAGAAGCTGCTTACTCACTTGCACCCAAGTGTGCTCATCTCCCCTGTGATTTTTTGGTTTTGTTTTTGCTTTTTGGTACCGAGAATCGAACTCACGACCTTGTGCTTGCCAGGCAGTGCTGTGCTGCTGAGCTACATCCCGGGCCCTCATTTCCCCCTGTTGTAAAGGGCGGGTTTCTCTGTTGCAGGTTTGGACTCCCTGCACGCCGGCAGTTTAGTAATGGAGGCGCCTACACCAACATCCCCCTCTCTACTCCCTTACCTGGAGTACCGAAGCCTGTTTTTGCTACAGTCGATGGACAAGAAAAGTTTGAAACCAAAGTTACCACACTGGAAAACGGGCTCCGCGTGGCATCTCAGAATAAGTTTGGACAGTTTTGTACGGTGGGAAGTGAGTATCGCTGGTGTGTTGCAGGTGGCCTTCTAGGGTTTTCACGTGATGTGCTTTAGCTGACTGTTTTAATTGGCAAGTCTTCTGTGAACTGTGCTTTGAGTGGAAGCATGTTAAAAATCTGAAACTCTGGGTGTCCTGGTGCATGCCTGTAGTCCCAGCTACTGAGTAGGGTGAGGCAGGAGGATTGTAAATTCAAGGCCAGTCCTGGCAACTTTGTAAGATCTTATCGTAGAAAAGGGGGTGGAAGCATAGGAATGTAGCTAAGGGGTAAACTGCCTCTGGGTTCAATGCTGTGAAAAAATGAAAAAAAAATCAGAAAACTTGAAAAATGGCCATTTTTGGTAGTAACACTTAGGGGACGATGTCTTCCCCTCTTTTTTCTATCTTCTGTAATCTTAGAAGTTTTCCTCATAAATCACTGTAGGCCTCCGCAAACGTTGGTGTGCATGGTAATAACTGAGTTCACAAACACTTCTGTTCACAAACAATTCAGTTTTCAAACAAAGGCATTCAATAAAATTTTGCTTCCGTTCACAAACTGCACTTCAGGTGACAAACACAACTATGGCTGTCTTACTCACACAAACATGAAGCCGTCTTCCCCAAAGTCATAAAGCAGATTAAGTTTGTGAACCAAGGTATCACTGTGTACACGTGGAACTGTCATCACAAGCAAGATAGTGAACGTAGCCTCCCCCTCATCTCATTACTTCTGGCTGTTGGAGTCACAATTTTGAAAGGTTTCTCTCGATTAAACTTCCTTTTTTGAGTTTTGCATTTAACCTGTTTTCTTTTATTGCCAGTTCTTATTAATTCAGGGTCAAGATATGAAGCGAAATATATTAGCGGAATTGCTCACTTTCTGGAGAAATTGGCATTTTCGGTCAGTGTCTAATGTGTGATTTTTGAAGACTGTCTGTAGGGAGGGGTGTTTTGGGTTTTTTTTAAAGGTTTTTCTTCCCCCATGGTTGTTTTGATGAACAACTCAAATTGCTGAGTTAATACTAATAAAGTTTTTTAAGATAAAATGTACCTTATGTTTCTGTGCTTTGAAAAAAGGAAATTTTCTTAAAGTTGATGTTTCTAAGGTTGTTTTGTATTGCTTATTTAAGCTTTTGTGTTTATTTTTGTCAGTCTACTGCCCGATTTGACAGTAAAGATGAGATTCTGCTCACCTTGGAGAAGCATGGGGGCATCTGTGACTGCCAGACCTCCAGGTACCCCGGCTGTCACACACTTCCTGTCTGTGTGGAGCTGTCTCCGTCCATGGGTCAGCGGAGAGTGGGGCGGGGACAGGACCACAGATGGTGGCAGTGACACTGGGAGATGGTCTTGGGAAGGGCAGTGCCTCATCTTGCAGCCAGGCTGGATGCCGGATTCAGGGCAGGCCCTGGTCCCAAGATGCTCACAGGGTGGGCAGAGACCACTTGCATGACACGAGCCAAGAGCAGGGGCAATAGAGGGAGCCTGGGCCACAGCAGGGAACTTGGTCTGCAGTAGGGAAGGGAAGAGGGAAGTGTGATGTGGGCACTGTTCTGGGCAGGTCTGCTGGGTGTTCCAGACCCAGGCATGCAGAGGCCCCACGTGCGGCTGGAAGCAGCTCCATCCTCAGCTCAGGCCGTTGCTCCTGCCCTCCCCTACTTCCTACGTTTGTGGCTGTGCAGGGTGACAGACAGCTAGACCCTGGGCCCTGAGAGCCAGCGCAGGCCAGCCAGCCTCTTGCCCTGAGCCCCCTGCATGTTTTGACGTCAGCCAGTCGGGTTGCTTGACCACGGCACAAGCTGGGCAGTGGTCCCTGGGAGACAGCCTGAGCTCACCCATGCCCAGGCGGGTTGGCGGTGGTGACTCAGCAGTGTCTTTCAGGAGAGCTCCTTCTGTGGGAGCTCACACTACTGAGCAGGGAGGGACGTGAGCCTGCTGGTTGCAGGCCACAGTGGTGTTAAGTGCCCTGTACACAGCGCAGCCAAGGTGTCCTGCTGAGCGTAGGTCCAGCGTCAGTGGCTTGTTTCTTCCAGGGACACCACCATGTATGCTGTGTCTGCTGACAGCAGAGGCTTGGACACCGTCGTGGGCTTGCTGGCCGATGTGGTTTTGCAGCCCTGCCTGACAGGTGTGGATGTCACCTAGGTTCTGGGGTTGTGCTGGGAGTGGTAAGGAGCAGCACTGCCATTAGGGCCGTGGGCTCACCCTGCAGTGATCACAGTGTCACCAACGATAGTGCAGGGATCGGAGAGTCCTCGGCAGGTTTGGGGGTCTGGTAAAGCGAGCACCCTGCATGCACATTGCCCTGGGCTCTGTGCCTCCCACAGGCATCGGGGGAGCTCCGTGCTCTGATACATCTCTGCGCCCCTGGAGCCTTTCAGTGAGGTTTTATTTCAGCAGTGCCCCTCACTGTCCTTAAGCACCGAGGCTGCCTGCTGCTGGGAGTTTCCACCCTGAGGTCTTTTTAGTCCTTCTTGGGCTTGCAAACGACAGGGCTTGCATCAGAAGGGGGCGTGGGAGGGGCTGCTGATATGTGTGTGTCACAGCCACCCGGCCCCAGGGCTGCAGTTCTGTTAGGATTCTGTGGTTCTGGCCTCAGGGCACTGGTGGGGTAGCCATGCTGGTCTGTAGCCATTCCCGAAGCACTTTCCTATCTGGTCTGTCCATACAGCTGCACCTGGGAGGTCAGGTCACCTCAGTGCCTTTTATAGGCGAGCCAGCCAGGGCTCCCACTGGGATCTCACAGAGAGCAGTACAGGCATGGGTCCCTACTTCCTGTTCCCTAGCCGCTGGCCTGGTGAGGGCAGAGGTGACCACAGCTCCTGGTAGCCTCGGGCTGAGCCAGCTCAGCCTCTCAGGATGGGTGCTGCAGGCAGCATGTTCACTGCTGCAGGCTGAACCCTGTCTCTGGGCTCCCTGCAGACGAGGAGTTGGAAATGACGCGGATGGCTGTCCAGTTCGAGCTGGAGGACCTGAACATGCGGCCCGACCCAGAACCACTCCTCACTGAGATGATCCACGAGGTAAACAGCGCTTAGATGCTGGCAGTGCCAGGCGTGGAACCCAGGCTGTGCATGTGTCAGGCAGGCAGCTGTTCTGCCCTGGGAGTGGCCTTCATGTTGGAATCGCCTCTAGTGCTGTTTACATTTTCCACTTCTTGCAGTATTGGGCTGTTTACCATTTCCATCCATAGAGTGGCCCTTTATTTTACTTTCTTAGTGGGTTTTGGTTCTAGAGAAGTAGGCTTTGCTGCTTTTTTCCATGCACCAGACAGAGATGCTGAGGTCAAACCACAGTTAAAGTGTCCTGGGGTGCCAGGTTTGTCCAGACACCCGGCTGGCAGCAGGTGACATCTCACAGGGACCTTCATATGTTCTCGTGCTTGTGTCCTTCCTTCAGGCTGCTTACAGGGGGAACACTGTGGGCCTCCACCGATTCTGCCCCCCAGAAAACATTGCAAGGATTGATCGGGAAGTACTTCATTCCTACCTGAGGAGCTACTACACGCCTGAGCGCATGGTGCTGGCCGGCGTGGGTGTGGAGCATGAGCGCCTGGTGGAATCTGCCACCAGGCACCTCCTGGGGGTGCAGCCAGCCTGGGGGGACACCGGGGCCGTGGCTGTGGACAGATCGGTGGCGCAGTACACTGGCGGGATCGTCAAGGTAGCATGGCCCTGTGCTGTGTCTGGCGGGTGGCTCTGGTGCCGTATGTGTGTGTATGCTGTCCCTCTGTGCACTGTGCAGCCCAGACTCCATGCCCACAACCTGTTGGAAGCACAGTGTTGACCAGGGCCAGCTCGGCCTTCGCACCATGGAGCCTGCCTCTTGCCTTGGGAGGGTTTATCACAAAGGCTCAGGACCTGTGCAAGATGCTCCCTTGGTCTTGCTGCAGCTGGAGAGGGACATGTCCAACGTCAGCCTGGGCCCAACCCCCATCCCTGAGCTCACGCACATCATGGTGGGCCTTGAGAGCTGCTCCTTCCTGGTGAGTCTGGGTGCAGCGGTGGCACCCAGTGTGAGGGTGGCACTCAGTGTGAGGGCAGTACCCAGTGTGAGGGTGGCGTCTGTTGTGAGGGCGGCCCCTGGCTGAGCTGGGGCCTGCACCCCGCAGGAGGACGACTTCATCCCCTTTGCGGTGCTGAACATGATGATGGGAGGCGGCGGCTCCTTCTCGGCTGGCGGCCCGGGCAAGGGCATGTTCTCCAGGCTCTACCTCAACGTGCTCAACAGGTCCGTGGTGTCCCTGGGCGGCTGCAGGGTGTGGACCTCAAGGCCATGGTACCCTTTTCCTGCATCTGTGGCCTGACCCTGGTCATGTCTGTCTCTTTGCAGGCACCATTGGATGTACAATGCCACCTCCTACCACCACAGCTATGAGGACACCGGCCTCCTGTGTATTCATGCTAGTGCCGACCCCAGACAGGTACGGGCATGTGGCGGGAGGTGGGGTGGCTGAGGCTGACAGTGCTGTTCACACCTCGCTTCCTTTGTAGGTTCGAGAAATGGTGGAAATCATCACAAAGGAATTTATCCTAATGGGTGGAACTGTGGACGTGGTAAGCAGGGAGGGCCCGGTAGGAGGTTGCCGGCAGTGTCCTGGGGCAGTGTGTTCGTCCTCCTCAGCCACCCCTTCCAGAGCAGTGTAGAGTGGACACTGTGTGGCCTTCCTGGCCTCAGCCTGGCTATTTCGTGCTTGAGCTTAAGCTCAGCAGTAGAGCGCTTGCCTGGCCTGTGCAAGGCCTTGAGATCAATCCCTGCACCACCAAAGTCTTCACAGTTGATCTTGCAGTGCTTGTCTTTCAAGGTACACAGCAGCTCTAGACCCGTGGGCTTGTCCCTCCCGAGACCTCTGGCCTCACTCCACCCCAGCTGCTAGGGGCTTAGCGCAGTGCCGTCTTGCAGGCTGCTCCCTGGGAGTCCGGGGGACAGCGGAACAGTTGCCTGGGTCCTGTGGACAGGGCATGAGGAACTGGAACCACTTAATCTCTGGCAGCAGTGGGGGCAGGTCTGTCCCTGTCCCCATGTAGCCCTGGCCAGTAAATAGGGTCCAGGCTGCAACCTGTGTGCCCAGGACACAGCCGCCCCACCTGTGCATCGTGCTGCACGTCCCATCAGCCCCTTACCGGCTGGTGCTGGCTGCGGGCGACCTGACAGACAGGTGCCTGTGGTACACAGGTGGAGCTGCAGCGGGCCAAGACGCAGCTGATGTCCATGCTCATGATGAATCTGGAGTCCAGGCCCGTGATCTTCGAGGACGTGGGGAGGCAGGTGCTGGCCACCCACTCCCGCAAGCTGCCGCATGAGCTCTGTGCGCTCATCCGTGAGTATGGCCTGTGTTGGGCACCCCGGCAGCTACTCCTCAGCCTATCTGTGGCACTGGGCACCTCAGGATGTGACCAGCCCTCGTTCCCAGGGGGCACCTCACACAGGATCCTCAGGCACAGCAGAGTCCCTAGTGTGGGTGGCATAACGGCTTCTGTCCCTTGTGGCCCCATGCAGGACATCACACTTGTGTGCTGAGCTTTTGAGGGGGCAGCCTGGGCACGGACCCTGGCATCACTGCACTGAGACCTGGAGCCGTGCAGGGTTGGCATGTGCCCTGCCTCTTGAGGGTGCAACTGTGGCGCCCTGCGTGCTCCTGGCCCCCTCCTGCAGGTGGTGTGCCTGGTAGGCACTGGATCTCCCAGCAGCCCCCGGCTCCCTGTCCGCTCGCATCCCTGCAGTCCTTTGTCCTCCCCTGACGGTCAGCCTGCCACAGAGCTGGCCCCTGGGGCTTGGGCTTCTCCTGAGCTGTCAGGCAGTATGGTCCTTCCTACCCTCACTTGCCCCCTGAGCGGAGACAGGCTTTGACGTTTCTTGCTGTGCACTAGGCAATGTGAAGCCAGAGGACGTCAAGAGGGTAGCTGCGAAGATGCTTCGAGGGAAGCCTGCTGTGGCAGCCCTGGGTGACCTGAGTGGCCTGCCCAGCTACGAGCACATCCAGGCCGCGCTGTCCAGCCGGGATGGGCGCCTGCCCAGGATGTACCGGCTCTTCCGTTAGGGCCCCTGGAGGACCCAGCCGTGGACAGCGGTGTGCACATGTGTGCTGTGGTGTGGACTGGTGTGGAGGTACCTGGCTTTGAGCAGTGCGGGAGGCACTCAGACTCCATGAGCAGAGTTCGCGTGACTACTGCAGCCTGCACCTCTCATCCCTTTGGGAGGGAGCTTGCCAGGCGGGGCGCATGTGCCCTTCTTCCTGGCGGGAAAGTGCTGCACACCCTAGTTGGGGCACTCACCCTTCTGGACTTGTGCCAGGGGCCATGCCAGAGCCTTGGGCCACAGGGTTAGCCCTCCCTGGCTTAAAGGCCACATGGGGCAGACTGGACAAGCAGGAGTGGCGCACGCCACCTCTGCCAATAAAACGGTGGCCACCTCCTCCCACGCTGTCTTCCTTCACCTGGCTACAGGAGGAGTTGAGGCCGCTGTCAGCCGGTTGGAGCATGTATGCCTGCAAGCCCAGCCAGTCTCAGTGTGCACCATCGCTCTGCGAAGCAGGAGGGTTGCAAGTTTGCATCCAGCTGGCTAACTTAGACTTCATCTTGTAATTTAAACATTGAAGGCGAGGAGCGGAGGGAAGCTCACCCAGGCCCTAGAACCGTAAGACAAAGTCGCTTCTCAGACAGCAGCCTCGCTCTCAGAGGCTGCCCGGCTTGGCCTGTCTCGGAGCACTTTGTCCCCCAGAGGCAAGACACACTGACCCCGTGTTGGCACGTGCAGGAGCGGGGGCTCCCCAGGGGCTGGCAAGTTGGAGTGGCGAAGCCCCTGCTGTTGCAGTGTCTCAGGCACAGGCTGAGGGTGACTGCCATCTGGAGCCGTGGTTCTCGAGCCTGGACTTGGAGAGACCACCAGAACCCCATGCAGGGTCAGGCCAGAAACCCTCCCTGCCTTCCTGGGTGGCTCTTTGGGGCAGCGTTCCTGAGGGCAGATCGGCAACTGGCCATTGTGCTGGTTAGGAGAGCAGGCCCCAGGCTCTTGATGGCCAGGAAGCCCGGCTCCTCCTCGGTGCAGATAGAGGGACGGGGGCGGGGGCGGTCTTAGGACTGTAAGCATGTTGTTCATCTGGGTTGTACCTGTTGCACACCTGGCAACTGCATCTCCTGACTTCACCCCATGGGAGCGTCCGCCCGTGCCCGTGGCTGTAGCAGTCCCCAGGCTGGAGCCTTAGGAAGACATGGTCATCGCAGCCCACAGCATGGCCCTGCTGGAGGGACTTGCTGTGCCAGCATCTGGAGAGTGGCCTGTGGCCCAGAGCTCAGGATACACTGCCTACAAGGGAGACTGAGCAGCAGGTCAGCGGGGCCAGCTCCCCAGACTTGGAGGAGGCACAGGCCACGTCCACTGCTGAGCAGTCAGAATGTGGTGCTTGGTGTTCTGGAGGCTGAGACAGCCCAGTCTCCTGTCCCCCTCAGGCTCTTCCACTTGGCCAGGAGCCCAGGATGCCTCCCCAGTGCTCCCCTCAGGCCATACTCCTCCCCTGGGCTCACCTCTTGCTGCTCGAGGTCACTGCTGCCACTGGTGGCTGGATAGCGGTGTGTAGCAGGACAGCTAAACATGAGGGTCTTGCCGTGCATTCCGGCTGGCCTTGAACTTGCCCTCCTACCCAAGAGCTACGTGCTGAGAAGCACCCTGGTGTCTGTTCCTGCTCCTCCCTTTTTGGCAATACCAGCGCACTGAACCCAAGCGCTTCACCACTGAGCTGCAGCCCGGCCCCCAGTTTGCAGCTCTTTATGGAAACTGGCCACCTTCGTTTCATTTGAGGTTTAAACTAACTTTCCAAGTATAAAGTGACAGGGCCGGGGATATAGCTCAGCAGCGTAAGTGCCTGCCTGGCAAGCACAAGGTCCTGAGTTTGATTCCTGGTACCCACAAAAAAAAAACACCCCAAGTATAATGTGACACATCTGGAACATAACAGCTGCACTAACCCATGACCTTGCCAGCCACAGGTCCCAGGCCAAACCAGGACTCTTCTCTAAGGTCACAGTAAAGTCCACGGGTCTGGTCAGAAAAAGCCTAACCCACGTAACCTGCGCGTTCTGAGAATCTTCCTGCTGTTCTCAGTTCCCTTGTTCCCTTGCAACATGCACTTGGTGGTGACAGCACAGACCCCGCGAAGCCTCCAGCGGTCGGTGGGCGGCCGTGCTTGGGTTGGGCTCTCCATGGTGGCCAGGTGACTGGCTGGCACTGTTCGCCCTGCAGTGGACAGCTGTTTGGGGAGTGGCTGCCAGTGAAAGCCCCACTGGATTCCTCGGTGCTCAGCCTCCAGCACGGCTCTGAGTCTGAGGGGGCCTCTCGCTGTGTGCAGGACACATGCCTGAGACCCTCAGCAGCCGCTGACAGCTGGGACCAAGTGACCCCAGGGTCTCTGCTCCCACACTGCACTTGACAGTGAAGCACCATGAGGCCTGCTGCACAGACTTCCCGCACTCAGTCTGGGGCCAGAAGAGTTTAAGATTCAATATATGCATTTATTTAAAAATATAAATATGGAAAAATAAATAATTTAACAGGCTGGAGTGGGTGTCCCTAGGTTTCTCTACATTCAAGTCTACATCCTCCAGAGGTGGGGTGAGGTCTAAGCCCTCTAAGGTAAGGACCTGAATGAGGGGCTGCTGGCCTCTGTTCCGGCCAGGGACGCTTCTGCTGACACCGTGCGGCTGAGGTCGAACAGTCGCTGGTCTATTGCCCAGTGAGACTTGGCCTGCGGCAAAGCAGGGAGGTGGTCCTGCCTGGGCTGGGGAGCTGGCGGAGGGGTCACTGCCACCCGGGAAGGGTCTGGCTGTGGCCTCTGGTGCTGCCTTGGCCTCAGCGGGTTTTGGGGTGCCCAGGTTCCAAGGCCTGGAGGACACCGGCTATGCCTGGACCTCTGCAGGCGCCTGTGTGGTGTGGGCTCAGGGCCAGGGCTTGGGGGCGAGCACAGGAAGCTGAGGGGAGCCTGCAGCCCTCACGAGCAAAAAGCAGGGATCTTGCTACCTTCCAGGGCAGAACAGCTCAAATGTCGGCCCTCTGTGGAGCTGGGGACAGACGCCTGGAGAGTCAAGCCCCGTCCGGTGGAGGGTGACGGGGACACCAGTGGGGGTGGGGTGCCACGTCCCACTGCTGTCCTGGGGTTTCCTGGTGAGAACAGGGCAGCTCTGCGGCCGTGCATCGGGACCCCAACGGGGGGTGCCAGAGGGCAGACCCCACCTCTTCAGTGACTTGGCCGTGTGTCCTGAGTTGCAGGTGATGACGGGTCCTCTCGGGACTCAAGACACAGTGCAGATGGCGCTGGAGCTCTGGTTCTTCAGTGCCTGCTGTCTCTGGATCTCTTTTGAAATACGTCTTTTAATCCCTATCAGGTACAGCTCTCGGTCAAACTTGCCGGCAGCCAGTGGAATGCTGCAGAGAGGCAGGACGAAAGGGTGACGGGTGTCCAGTGTCCCTGGCTACGGGGTGGTGACCCTGAGCGTCACACACAGGGACAGGGCCTTGCCTTGTCCCTCCACCAGTTCCACTGTGCCCTGGGGCCCGTCTTCAGGAGAGGCTGTGGCCACCCCCCTTGGCACCAGGTTCAGGGCAGGGAGGAGCCAAGGGTCGGGATGGGGGCTTCGATCAACCCCAGAGACTGCTGGCACCCGCCCCCTCTGCGCGGCAACCTGACGAGACCACCATGCCCACGCCCCCTCCATCACCAGCCCAGAGCCAGGCTCCACTGCCTGAGCCCAGCCAGGCCCGAGGGAGAGGAGCGAGGACTCACTTGTCTCGCCCGGGCCGCACCCGCACCCGGAAGAGGCCATACACGGGGCGGTGGTCGGACGTCCTGATCCCGGGGCAGGAGGAGTACGTCACTGGGTGGATGTCCCCCTTGTGGCGGCTTCGGTACAGAACCCGGTCCTTCAGGAGAAATCTTGCTACTGGGCGGCTTGGGCGTGGGCACCTGGGCTTCAGCACTCAGGGATCCCCTGCCAGCCATCCCCCGAGAATTGGGGGTGCCTCCACGTCCCCCGCGCTCCACGGATGTGGGCCTTGGGACAGCCAGGCCGGGCTAGCGCCTCCTGCTCCTCTGCTCCCAATGCTGACGGGGACGGTGGGGCTGGGGGGAATCCAGCTGTGGCTGGGGCAAGCGCCCCGCTCTTGAGGTGCTTCTGACGAAACCTCACAGAGGGAGGGGGCCGCTCTCAGCACGAATGGTCCCTTGTGGACCAGCCAGAGCACAAGTGCCGGGGTGTGGGCCTGCGCAGGTTGCCCGTCTCTCATTGGCATTGAGCACAGCTCCTGATGCCCTGGGTGGCATCGGGCAGCAGCACCAGGCAGCAAGCACCGCACATGGGTCCTCTCCTGGAGGGGTGGGCCTACCGTGTATGAGGGCGTCCTCTGCTTGGAGGTGCTGTCGTAGGTGTCCTTCCCGAGGTCAAACTTATAGGAAGGCAGGAAGACGATGTCTGGCTCCTGGAAGCCCCTGAAGACCGACCCTGTGAGGGCACAGTGCTCAGCCGTGTGCCCCACCCCCGCCCCGCCCGCACTCCCAGCGTCCCCCTCACCGCTCTTCATCTCCCGCGTGAGCTGGTCCTGCTGCAGCAGTGCCCGCACAGCCGCCTCCCGCTCCTGCCTCAGTGCGGCCTCCACCGCCACGCGCCCGCCGCCCAGGCGGAAGTTGAAATCTCCGAACCAGAACACTTCGTCAAAGCGGGTGGTGACGTCCGCTGGGCACAGAGGGCAGCGTGTGGGCGCTGGCTCCCCGCGCCTGCTGTGGCCTCAACAGTGGGCTGGCAGCCTGAGCCAGTGACAGGGACTTTCTTTCGGGGCAGGGGGGGCGGGGGTACCGGGAATTGAACTCAGGACCTCTTGCTCGCCAGGCAGGCACTGTGCCGCTGAGCTGTCTCCCCAGCTCTCAGTGACAGGATTTCTTCGTGTGGTGTCCCCCCCCAAATCATGGCCAGGCAGTGGCTCCCAGCAGAGGAACCTGGCCCAGGCTAAGGACAATGGCCCACCAAGCTGCCAGCCTCACGGGGCATGGGCCTCCTCTCGGCCCTGCCTCACCTGCGCTGGAGCGGTAGGGGTTGGTGTCCGGCACGTTCCTGGGCAGCGCAAGGGTTTGAACAGTCCTGCTGTAGTCCAGCAGCCTCTCTGCCACCTTCCCATCTCCAGCTGTGGGGACGGAGTCAGGCTGAGGGACACGGGGTTCTGGCACTCGAGTCCCCACCCAGCTGACCACCTGCCCAGTCACCGGCCCGGGGCTCCCAGGCAGCGGCCTCGGGGGATGGCGGGGGCTTTGGCAGAGCCCGTGGACCAAGAGCAGGGGCCCCGTGCGCGGAGGGGCCGGCAACTCACAGGTGAAGTGGGAGGTGATGAAGAGGAAGGAGGTGCCGAAGAAGGTGAAGCTGGCGCCCAGGGCGCCCTTGGTCTTGATCTGGGACACGATGCGTGTGGTCACCGTGGCGCACTCTACCTCTGCGGGGCCGGGTGGGGTCAGTGCTGCAGCGCCCCCGCCGGGTTCCCGGGTCCACTGGGGGCGGCGGCACCCGGGCCATGGACCTACCTGAGCAGAACCAGATGAGGTCCCTGCGGATGAAGAGGGACAGGTACAGCACGCCGTGGGCTGCCGAGGACAGCAGCACGTAGCGCGGGCCCAGCGTCTCCTGCAGCCGCGTCTCCCACTCCCGCCTGTGGAGGAGGACGAGGGGCTGGGGTGTGGGCCCTCCCAGCTCAGGAGGCACCGGGAACCCCAGGACTTGACCTTGCCTCATGGGGGGTATGTCAGATGCAAGAGGGGTACTGGGGCCACAGGTCAGAACTCCAGGGCAGCAGCAGGCCCGGTCCTCATGCTACTGGCAGATGCCAGTCCTGAGCCCCTCCAAAACCCACCAGAGCGCTCCAGCTACACCCTGCTGAGACCCTCTGCCCGCCTGGAGTCTCGGCCCCAGAGAGCCATGGTGACAGGGTCCCTGAGTGCTGCTCCCCAGGCCACCCATGCAACTGCACCTGCACGCCTCACATGCCACAGGGCGCTGCCAGGTCTCAGCGGCCAGCAACGCCCTTCAGGACACCCCAGCATGGCCTCACAGGAAACCAGCACTGCAGACACACCTGTCATCCCAGCACTCTGGGAGGCTGAGGCAGGAGGATTGCAAGTTTGAACCAGCCTGGGCCACTTAGTAAGTCCCTGCTTCAAAATGAAAAAGCTACAAGAGGGCTTGGGATGGAGCGCAGAGCAAAGGCCTTGGGCTCAGTCCCCAGTATGGGGTCGCTGGGAAGCACTGCTCTTGCTGCTCGTACGCTCTCCTGATCCACCACTTGTTTACCTTTAAGTTCTGAGACCGGGCCTGCAGCGCTGCCCTACCTGTCGGAGCAGCCCTCCTGCACTCCAATGACATACAGGTCCTGGGTGTAGTCAGCCTCAGCGGGCAGCAGCAGCTCATCCAGGCTGGGCGGCAGCTCCTGTGGGGAAAGCCATGCAGCTGGTCAGGGCCTGGGCTCCAGGCGGGCTGGGTAGGAGCTGGGGTCCCCGCTCTGCCACCCCAGCTGGTTATACAGCGTTGCCTCTGAACAAAGGGAAACCAAGGCTGTGCCCAGAAGTATGGTCCACAGACCCCAGGGACTAGACACACCCACCCCACATCCAGGCAGCCACCCCGCCCACGCTGGCCCCCCTGTCTGACCACTGCCCCAGTGTACCCCACTGTGCCCCACCCTGGCCCCTCATGGAGCCTTCAGGCTGGGAGGGACCACCAGGTAGCTTTGCTCCCAGGAAGTGCCCTCCGCATCCCCCTCAGCAGGCCGTGCCAGGGCTGCAGTGGGCTGGGCTGGGCACCACGCCTCGCCTGCCTCTCACCTTCTGGCCCTGCATGTTCCAGGTGGCCACGAAGAGTGCCATGCTGCGGTCAGGGAAGTACTGGGCCAGCTCCTCTGCACCCAGCAGGGCCCCGCTGGCCAGCAGGCTGCCCTCCAGGTAGCTCCTGTAGGGAGAGCTTCGTGAGGTGAAGCCAGGGTACAGCCGCAAGTCTGGAAGCAGCAGCAGATAGTGCTGAGCTCTGCAGAACGGGGCTTCCAAGTTGGGTGCCGCACCAGGGTCTGCCTGCTGTGTGGACCCAACAGGGATTCAGGCTCCTGGGAAGGTGACCTGCAGGCAGCACAGTGACTGTTCTACAGGTGATGTCTGGGAGGCCACAGAGGACCTGAAGGGAATTTGTGTCCCATGAGCAGGGCTGGGGTGGCCGTCTCCCCTCCCTGCACCTTCCCACAGGCAGAGCCCGAGAAGCAGACTGGAGCACGAAGAGAAGGCTGTGTGTGAATGTGCCTGTCTCCAAGTCATGCCTGTCACCCAGCTCCTCAGGAGGCTGAGGCAGGAGGATTGCAAGTTTGAGCCCAGCCTGGGCAACTTAGGGAGACACTGTTAAAGATGAAATAAAAAGGGCTGGGGACATGGCACGGTGGCAGAAGGCTTGTCTAGCATGTAATGGGCTTTAGGTTCAACTTCCAGTAGGGAAAACAAAACCACGACGAAAATGATTAGATGTCCATAACCAACAGCACATGTTGCTGAGCCTGCCCAGGACACACACATGCAAACCCACTGTAAGGGACACAGCCCTGGGCCAGCTGCCTGTCACACTCCTGGCTCTGTCACCAACCAGCAGGACCTGCCACACCCACACGGAATGACGCCCTGCTCACACCCTGCAAGGTGTGGGATGCTTCGCCCTCTCCAGCCATCTACGTGAGGCTCAGCTCACGGCAGGATGTGGCAGTGGCCGCAGGGCCTCCTCTCCTCTGCCAGCCCTGTCCCCGCCGCCAGCCCCCTCCCTCAGCATCCTCAGGTCTAGCCAACCTGGCGCCTGGAGGCACAGCTGCACCTGCTCACCGGTCTTGCCAGGTGTCCACCTGCTGAAGCCTCCACCCAGTTAACCAAGCACCCGCAGGACCTGCAGCCACCCCGCTTCCTGGACATGGGCCCGAGCCTACTCGTCTCCCCGGCCCTGGGCCAGGGCCGAGGACAAGTGCTCCCCACGAGGACCCAGGCAATGTCCACTCCAAATCTTCTCTGCCTCCATGTCTAATTCTCTGACAGCTGGGCATGGTGATGCACACCTGTAATCCCAGCACTTGGAGGGAGGTTGAGGCGGGAGGGCGCCATGAATTTGGGGCCAACCTGGGCTACATAGTGACTATAAGGCCAGCCTGAGCTATATAGCGAGACCCTGTCTGAAAAAGAAAGATTCTATGACGGCTCTTGTCGGCCCCAAATATGTCACCCATTTGCTGAGAGACCCGATGGTCTGTCCCGCAGAAGTCCAACTAATGCACAGCCTCCACAGGCGTGCATCTGTTGGGGACACGCGATCAGACTCCCGTTCCAGGGGGGACACAAGGGGTACCTGGTCAGCCTGTGTGGCCCCAGACGCGGCAGCGTGGAGCAGCCCCTTGGAGGACGCCAGCCCCAGGCATCTGTGTGCTGTGCCCATGGGAGCCACGAGCGGTGAGCTCCTCAGAGCACTGCCTCTTCCCGCAGGGACACAGCCACCCGATTCCTTGTGGACACGCCCTCATCTCTCTCAAGGTCACTTTTCCCGTCATTTTGTCCTCCCAGGTGCTGCATGGGGGATGGGCCACAGTGGAGACTGGGCTGCACTTGACAAAGGGCAGGTGGGGTCAATAGGGTGCAGCAGCTACTCCTGGAGCCGGGCTAACCGAGCAGCTCCTGCCTAGCACAAGTGACCCAGCCACTGGCCCCACGCTGCCATCACTTCCCTGCCAGGTCTCCTTGTTGTGCATCTGTCCCATGCACCATGTCGCTGCCCTCCTCCAGTTCTCAAAAACAGGGTTGGTCACTGTCCGTTCACAGATATCTTCAGGTTGTTCAAAGCCCTAATTCACGCCTTTAATCCCCACTTGCTAAGAAAACCTTACACCTTTTTCCTGAAAACAGATCCTGACTCTTAAACTCGGTATGGTGGTGCACATCTGTAATCAGATTCCAAGTTCAAGCCAGCTTGGGCAATTTAGAGAGACCGTGTCTCAAAATAAAAACTAAAAAGAGGGCTAAGAAACAGAGAGGAAGGGAGGGAGGGGGAGGGAGGGAGGAGGAAGAGGGAGAGAGAGAAAAGAAGCAACAAACAAACTGAAAAACTGGCACACCTGTGGTGCAGGTGCTGTGAGGAGCAGGTTCGGCCCCTGGGGATGGCGCCAAGCGCCCCTGCAGGCTGCCCCCAGGTGCAGGTGAGGTGACCTGTGAGACCACAGGGTCTGAGAGGGCTGCAGGACATGGCCACCCCTGGCCCTCAAACTGCTCTGTGCAGACGAACTGGTTAGATCTCTGGGTCATGTGGGACTTAGTGTGGCCCCAGGATGGCACATAAATGAGCAGCCACAGCTGGAAGGGAGGGGAAAGGAAGGGTCTCCGAGACCCGCAGAGAGAGGGCGGCCGGCCCTGCCTGTAGAGCTAGGAGAGCCGTGATCAACTGTGTGAAAACCACCCAAGTCACTAAACCTGCAGTCACTGGCCCAGGCAGGCCCCGGAGGCCGATGCAGGAGCATTTCCCACCTCTGCCTGCACACACCCCCCGCTGGGCCACAGCAGAGTTGAGGGCTGAGGGCCCTTCTCCAGCCACAGCCCAGCGCCCAGGGCTAGAGCAGGAATGGAAGAGTGGGTGGGTGGGCCCAGGCTGTGGTCCTCATGTCACAAAGCATGGGAGGACCAGCACTCTGGACAGCACTGGAGAGACTGCCGTGCCCTCCTCAGCCTGTGTGCACCTCTGCGTAGGGTCCCTTGGCGCATCTGCCTAACGTTCTGGTGAGATGCCAGCCTGTGCCCAGAGCCCACCAGGCAGGGGCCACGGTGCCCTGCAGGAGGGGAGGCCCTACCTGCTACGGACGTCCTTGGTGCGGATGGGGGCCAGCAGGCTGAAGGAGGACCTGGCGGAGTGCAGTGAGTGGTCGTCACAGGCCAGGGGGCTCCGGGGCCGGCCGGGGCCCAGGCTGCTGTGGGCACGCACCAGCCTGGTCGGTGTGCCCTGCTTGCGGTCGCCCTGCTCTGAGTCCACCTGGTCTGCAGTTCTCAGAGGGTCGGAAGCCACAGTGGGCTCCGAGGAGGTTGGTGGGCGTGGGGTGCGCAGGCTGGCTAGCCTGGGGGAGCCGCCAGACGGGGAGGCCTCCCTGTGCAGGAGATCCAGGGAGGTGCTGACCATGCCAGAGAGACGGTCGCCCCAGGAGGTCGGGCTCCCGCCCGCGCTGCCCGAGGCCCAGCGGGGCTTGGGAATCTCCTGCAAGGACGTGCTCAGGCAAGGCAGCGGGAGACCGCGGCCGAGGGTCTGGGGGGCCGCGTTCTGCACGGAGCCCCCGCCGGGGCCAGCCCCGTCCCGGGCGTCCCGGGCGGCCAGGTCCTCCTGGCTGCTTCGGAAACGCCTCCTCCTCCAGCCCCTGTCGTCGAGGGACAGGGCTCGCTCCAGCCTGGGCCGCATGGGGGGCTGTGGGGTGATGGGGCTTGCCGTGGCCGGCGAGGTCTCGCTGCCGGCTTTCGCGCGATCGTTGCGAGGGAGCGTGGGGCCGTCCTCGGGGGCCTCGCTGCAGGTGCCGGGCAGGGACCCCGGGCTCAGGGCCAGGTCCTGGGCGGGGGTGGGACGCTGCCCCTTGAGCATCCCGGCCTCCCGCGGCCCGGGTGCCGCGGCGTGACGCAGACACACGGCCTTGGATGGCATGGTCGGGGGCCGGGCCTCGCCGGGGCAGCCGCTCGGGGGAGGCCGAGTCGGGGGCGCGGTCAGAGGTCGCGGGCGGCGCCCTCCAGTCCGGGAGGTCGCATCCTGGGTCCCGGTCCCCGCGAGCCCTGGGGGGAACCCGGAAACTGCCGTTAGGGCCCAGGCCGCCTGAGGCCGCCCGCCGTCCCTGAAGGAGGTCCCGGCAAGGCGACAGAGCGGGGCCGGGCGACGCTGCAGACCACGCGGGCCGCGGCTCACCTGCGCCCGCTCTCCGGGGCCCTGGCCCTCCGGCGGGAGCGGGGTCAGGGCGGACACGCGCCCCGAGCAACCACTGCGCCCACGCCGGCCGCCCGGAGGACACCGCCCCGCGCACAGCGCTCCCTGGCGGCCGGAGGACCGCGCCACACCGGCAGCCCAGGCCCCGCCCCCGGAGCCCCGCCCCGGACCCCAGACCCACACCCACACCCACACCCGCACCCACACCAGCGGTCCTGAGGACCCTGGAATTCACCCGCCCCCAAAACACAAATGACACCACAGGGGACGGTGCTTGAGAGCCCAAAATATTTTATTTAACAATTTGCATTTAGGAAAAATAGCAGCTCCTGCCTCGGAGGAAGCTTCTTGGATCAAAAGTGGCTGGCAGTTGACACAGACCCTGCGCAGGGCTGGACTCCAGCAAGCCGGGGTCCGGGCCCCAACTGGGGCCACCAGCACTGCGCGCCCGGGGACGCCTTCCCAGTGATGGGCCGGGCTCCAGGCCGCCTGTGAAACGTTCTGGAAACTGCTCTGGGTCTCGCCTGGAGGATGAGGTGAACCAGGGTACTGGGAGGACTGTACTAATTCCACATTCTAGTTTCTCTACTTAAAATACCAAACCGTTTATGTTCCCCCAGCAGAACCTACATTATTACCTACTGATTTCATAAATATCTGAATCTCCCCACCATCCCAGTCCCCACAGTCAGTAAGAAGTTCTAAGAGCAGTCACTGGGGCATGAGGCTCTGCGGCGCGGCAGCCAAGGTCTGGCACGGGCACTTGGGGTGGGCAGCCGCTGCACACCCACCCTGAGCCCCAGCCCTACTGGCGTCTCTGGGACAGGCACCTGTAGGCTGCCACTGGGGATGGAACCAGACCAGGAGCGCAGGCTCGACAGCTCTCCAGGTGACAGTGCTGGGCCACCCGCTTGGGCACCTGAGTCACCCAGGTCCTAGTTAGGCTGCCCATGTCTTCACCCCCAAAGAGACACAGGCCCCGCAGTAACCAGGCCTCTCCTCCACTGCCAGCCGCTGCTGACCGCGGTAGCACACCAGCCAGGCTGCAGTGGATCGGGACCTGCCCCTCTTGGGCACTTTCCTCTCGTGATCCTCAGGAAGTGTGGGACCACGCCAGGACCCCGCTTCTCTTCATCGACGCTCCAGTGTCTGTACCACGTCCCTAAATCATCCTAAGCAACTGAGGAAGGAGTGTCATCCTTTATGTGAAAAAGTCTGAGTGGATTCATGTACTCAGGATCCTAAAAGGACCGTGGAATTAATTTTGCAATAATGAATACAGATAGGCAGGAGAGGGGAGACGCACAGTATGACCGGCCGAGTTACTGCTGTGTCCACTCAGGAACCGTGACACTCTGAGAGGCCTATCTGGCTCCTGGTAGACAGCAGTCATTTCAGGGTCCCAACCTCGAGGCCAGACGACGGACAGTTCTAGTTGAGTGCTGGGTATCTCCGCTGGCCAATCCTTGTGGGCCGTGAGCTCCCTGAGGTGGCGGAGGTCTGGAGTAAAAGGACCAGCGCTGAGCTCTGCTTGTCACCCCAGGAAGGCAAACCCCCGGGGCGGTGGGGTGGGGTGGGGTGGGGTGGTTCACACAGAATGCTGGGAGGGGGCTCCCACGGCCGAGCACTGGTGAGTCAGCCCCAGGCTTCCGTTTACGGAACTAGGCTTGAAACACCATGTCTCCTAGCACACAGGGCCACAGAGGTCATTTATTAGGCCAGTTGTGCAGGGCTGGCACAACAGCGTCCAGTGAGCCCAGGGAAGATGGTGGCCTGTGGCCTGCCTGTCACTGCGAAAACAAGGACAGCAGGTTTGGACGGCGGTGAGGCCAGTATTTGCCCTTCCTCCCTCAAGACCTAAGAACGAGATAAACCACCCGCAGAAGGAATGAAGGGGAACCCCCCCATGCTGGAAGCTGAAAAGCAGAGGGATGCAGACGGCAACCAGGACGCAGTGCAGCTGGAGGTCCCGGCCTCACTGCCAGGCTGGAGGTGAGGCAGGGTCTGCAAGGTCAGGGTGGGGTGAACTGCACATTCGGGGTGCCAGAGGTCCACCCAGCCCTGCTCTCCTAGGATGGGAGCCAGACGCAAAGGCCAGGGACCACAGAGCCCAGCAGCGCTGACAAACGCAGTGCCTCTGTCAGTGGTGGGAACCGGAGGAGAGGGGACTGGGGACTGAGCCTCCTCACACCCTGCGGGGTGCAGCTGTGGGTGAGGAAAGAGCCCCTTGGCTGTACACGCAGGGCTACTCACCGGGGCCGCCTGGCTGGGGCTGCAGAGGGGCACAGCACCGAAGGCAGGGCCCCCTGCCGCACGGGGGTCACTGGGAGCCTGTGAAGCAGAAGTCCCTCAGGGAAGCAGCACCGCACAGCACTGCTGCCCCTGAGGACAGGGCCACTCCTGGGAAGGCCTGCGAATGCTCTCCAACAGGCCCAGGAGCAGGCTCGGGCAGCGCGCCGGCACTGGATGGTATTATCAGGTGGCTCACAAGAAATAGGCAAAACTGAGAGCAGCATGCAGTTGAGATGCTTCAGACAGCAGTGCACCCACAGAAGAGGCATGGGCACAGCGACGCCCCAGCTGCGTCATCCCCACAGTTAGCTGGCCCGGAGCGCACCCTGGGAAAGTGGGGGGCTGACATGCAGCCACCAATGGCCCCATGGGCCTTTCCAGAACCCACAACACAGGAAAGAAAAGGTGTTCCTCTTTTCGCTGTATGACCTTGGGATAGCCGGCCAGCTGACCCGGAACAGACTTCCCCTAAAGCAGGGAGAATCTTCCTTCCCGCCAGGTGTCCTGCCCTGGGGGACGAGGCAGCAAGGCTGCAGGGCCAGCACTCAGAATGCCAGCCCAGAAGCAGAGTGACAAAGGTCACCTGTTCACCCTCTGTTCTGTGGGGTCAGCGTCATCACAGGGCACCAGGTGTTAATGCCAAACCCACAAGGGCCACTCAGCGAAAGGAACGCTGCATGCTGGCAGCATGTGGCTTGGGTCAGACAGGGCAGTTAGCGACAAGATACACAGGGCAGTGAGGGGACATGGGACCCGCGAGCAGAGGCCTGGCAGCTCGGTACCTGCTGGAAATGCTGGCCCACTTCCCGGGACAGCGAGCTCACCGAGCTCCAGCGTGACAGCTGCGGACAGCAAGAGCACAGACACGGGCATCAGCACGCCGGCCCGCACTGAGCTGCCACCCAGCCCAAACAGCTGCAGGACGTGGCAGGCTCAACCGGATGGCAGTGGGGAAGAGGCTGGCGAGCCCGAAGCCCTCTTCATGCAGCCTGCATCAAAAAAATGCCCCCGCGCCTGGAGGAGGCTCCGGGTCATGCCAGCTTCACCTGGTGTCACCTCGAAATTCAGGGCACTCAAGCCACACTGAGAGGAAGCTGTGACAACAGCAGGGCAGGCCTCAGCCCCTCACCCTCTACTCGGAGCTGTACGTAACAGCAGGGAAGCAGGTGAGGTTTCCCCTGGCCCTGGGATGCAACCTATTCGTTCCCATAGCTGTTTTGTTTCTTAGAATTTTATAGTGGTTTTTTGGTTTGTTTTTTTGCAACACTAGGGTCTGACTGTCACACTGGGCTACATCCCCAGGGTTTTGCTAAGTTGAATTTGCAGTTCTCCTGCCTCAGCCTCTCAGCGTGTTGGAATGATGGCGTGAGCCACACTGCACAGCTAATCATTTCCTTAGTTCTTAAAGGCAATGGAAACGAACTGCCAGGTAGGACTGTGGCAGGACTCTGTGCAGGGCCCTGACTGCTCTGCCTTGGCATCCTCTAGTCTAGAGGGCAGACGCTCAGGACCAGGGGGCGATGCTGCTGAGATCGACAGCTGCCAAGGACAGGAGACTCAAACCCAGGGAGCGGAAGGCTGTTGCACCAGGCAGAAAAACAACACCCGGCCACAGGTTGCCCCTAGCCCTGGCCCCTCTGCAGTGGGCACCAGGGAGCCTCCCCGGGACCCCTGCCTGCGGGTTCTGGGCCCTGGGGCTCCGACAGGGCACCACCTGACAGGACACCACCACAGTGGCCTTCCACCCAGGCACAACTGTCACTCCCGTCCACAGAGGGGAAGCCACTGGGAGAAGGGACAGCACTGTCACAGCAGGGGCAGGGGACACCCAGCCCCATGCCGGGACCAGGCCTGAGTGGCTCTGCTCTATGCAGGACTTCACCTGTCCTTTGTAGGTGAAGATACACTTTGTCTAACTTTCGCTGCTGCTAGGTAATTTCTCCTTTCTTTTTATAACTTGGAGTAATTTTATTTTTTCTTGCTTTTAAAAACAGTGGTAGGGGCTGGGGACTTAGCATCACAGTGCCTGCCTGGCAAGTATAATGTCATGAGTTCGATTCCTGGTACCAGACAAAAAGAAAAAACAAAAACAAACAAACAAACAAAAAACAGTGGTAGGTGCTAGGGATGTAGCTCAGGAGCATAAGCACCTGCCTGGCAAGCGCAAGGTCCTGAGTTCAATTCTCGGTACCAAAAAAATGTGAAAGAAAAAGTGGTAATATATGAAACCATAAAACTTCCCACCCCAAGCATCCCTGGCATAGCCTGAGCATTACCAGTGTGGGTGGCTGCCACACCCACCTCCAGCACAGCCTTCCACCTCCCAAGTGGACACTGCCCCAGCCCGACACCCTGCCACTGCCCCACCTGACGGTTTCGACATGGAAAGCATGCGCCATGCGTGTGCGCAGCCTGGGCCCCTCATGCAAAAGCAAGGGGACATGGGCAGGTTTCCACCTACCTTGGGGTCCTCTGTGGGCTCCAGATCGGCCTGAGCCCCAGCTGGTACCTGCCCCCCACTGCCAGCCCCATCTGCAAGCTGCGGCTCCTCTGCATCTGGGAGAGAGGGCAGAGGCCATCGTACACCTTGCACCAGGCGTCGTTTCCCACAGCCCAGGGAGCAGCCCAGGGGAGGCCTTGATTGCTGAACACATGCCCTGACCCTTAGCTCTGAGCCTGCTGTAGCCAGTCACTCCAAGAGGGCGACCTGGCCAGTCAGCGAGACAGGGTGAGGGCAGGGGGACAGGTGTGGCAGACACCACCTGCTTCCTCTGCTGCTGCTTACCTGGGTTTGGTACAAACAAATTAGGCGGGATCGGAAGCGGGGCGAGTGGAGCAAAAAAATCTGCAGGGGCCAGGGATGGCTCACTCCGCTGGGCCCCGCTTGGGTTCAAGACATCCACATAGCGAGCTCTGGATCCACCTGCCAGGGGAAGGGTGCACATTCACCCTGCTGGATTTCACAGGACAAGGCCCCACCCGTTCTAGTGCCCCAGGCCCTGATCCTGACTGAAGGATGGGATGCTCCTGTGCCCACAGGCCAGCAACATGGATGTGAGGAACACTGCCTGTGCCAGAGAGCTGGACGCTGGCCTGAGGGCTTTGCTTCCACCACACTCGCTTGCCGTCAACCCTGGTGCACCCCGCGCTCCCCGACTTCTACCCAGGTGGCGTTCATTACCTGCTTTCCTGGAAAACACGTTCACAGAGGCTGTGGGAGGCCCGCCAGGCCCGGGGGGAGTGCCCTGAGGGGCTCTGGGGAACGCCATGGGAGGTGGGGGTGGAGCCTTCTTCTGCAGAGTGAGAGACAGCTCAGACACCCACCTAGCACCTGGAAGCCCAGCTAAGGCTCCCCAAAAGGAGCCCTAAAATACACTGGCAGCGAACACCTGAAATCACACCATACCTCCTCTTCTGGCTCGTTTAAGTTCACCCACTGGTTTTTCTTTTCGTCCCAAACAATCTGCCAGGATTTTAAGAAGAAAAAAATCAGCAGGCTGAAGCTCCACGCAACCCGTGTCTGACGAAGGACGTTCGCTCAGGTCTGTCCTGACCCCGAAACGCGGTATGAACCATGAGCCACAGACAGGCAGAGCAGACCTCGAGACACTCACCGATTTATTCTTGTCGTCCGGCAGGTACGCCTCCGTCCTCTTTTTCCCAGGGAGCCAGCGAGAGAACCAGGACTCGCTCTAAACAGAAAACCACCCAGACCCCGGGGCGCTGTGCTTTGGGGACGAGGACACAGGGCCCCCAAGGGGTCAGAGCCAGAGCCTAACAAGGCACTTCCATCTGGGAAGAGAAAAGGCTCGAGAGCTGGTGTGGGCGAGGCCACGCGTGGTGTCGCTCTTCCACTCTGCACTATGCGCTCAGAACAGGAGACACCCACTGTTTTCTTTTTTGTAGGGCAGGAATCAAACTCAGGACCTTGGGCTTGTAGGGCAGGCGCTGCATCACTGAACTATATCCCCAGCATCTTTTTCCAGCTTGGCTGTCACACCAGGCTGAGCCCCAGCCACACACTGTGGCACATGGCACACACGGCCAACACTGCCACAGGACATGGGGCAGCTGCCCAACTCGCAGGGCCCTCTGCTATGACAGGCAGTGGCACGAAGGGGCTCTGGGGCTAGGACATGTCCTCACTGACCAGGAATGACAAACACAAAACACTCCAGCTGTTGTGGCAACACCCTTGCTGTATGGATGCACACTCCTCCAAGGAGAAGCGCCAAGGCGCCTGAGCCCCAGGACGCCCCACTTCCTCCCCAGTTGCCTCCTCTGCCCGGCTGCACGGCTGCCCCTAGAGGGCCCTGCTCTACCTTCTTGGCTTCTCTGGTCTCTTTCCTGACTGCCGGGGCTGCTCTCTTGGCTTCAGGCACAGGTGTCAGAGGCGGGGCAGGCTGTGCTGATCCTGAGCCAGCGCTGTTCCAGGCTGGGGGCGTCTCCAGGTCCTGTGCCATCCTTGGGGAGCCCTGTCCCAAGAGAGCATGAAGCTGGCTCTCCTGATGCTCTGCAAGAGGAAGGGTGGCAGGGCAGGAAGGTGCCACCCAGGGTCCCTGAGAGCAGCAGGCAGAGGACAGTAGGGAGCAGAAGGAGAGTGGCGAAGGCAGAGGAGAGACGCTGCCACAGCTAAAAAGCAACTCCCACCACGAGTGTCGTGGTTCTCAGAGCAAATACTTAGGCACTAGGCACATCATCATCAGCCGGGAGATGGCACATAGAATGAGACCGGAGGGTAGGATTGGGCAGTTAGACCAGCAAGATCGGAGGGTATGATCATTCAGAGCCCGGCAGGGAGAGGTTGCAATGATCAAAGGCTTTTTAAAAGTTGTCACTCCTGGTGATGACACTGCTGCCAACAGAGACATGGGCATGGGCATGGGCTGGATGTCCGAAACCATGGCACGAATACCGCGCCTCCACACCAGAGCCACTGCCTAAGGACGCTGTGCCCACTGGGCCAGGGGTCTGTGAAGCAGCTCCTGGCACATGGCTTTTGGAAGAGCATCTGAACCAAACAGGTACGCTGAAGTGAGCTGCAACTTCAGGGCAAACAGGAGTTCTAGGGCCCCAAAGGGTGCCAAAACCTAGGGAGGGGGCCTCCACTTTAGAAAGTCAGATGATGTCACTATATTTAGCTATTCCTTCCAGCTACCTAAGAGTTGCTTTTCCACTACTGAGATCTGTCTTCTTACCTTTTCCTGTCAATGTTTTCACTAACTCTTTGTATTTCAAGGATTAAAGTGATTTTAAGAAACAAACTAAAAGATAATTTCATAACCTTCATTATCTTCCTATTCACAAGTACCTACCTACTCCATCAACTTTTCAGAAAGCACAGTTTAAAAAGAAGTGGTAAAGTACCAGATTAGCAAAATTTCCACCAAAATCCTCCTCGCTTGGCTCGGGCAGTGAGTTTCTGACAGGTGACTCCCGTGGCACCGTACCTGCCAACACAGGAGAGAGTGGCCATGACCCCCTGCTCCTCAGAGTGGAAGGAGCAGGGTACCCGCATGATGGGAAGCTGGCCAGCGGCCCAGGCCAGGGCAGGGCACACAGGGCAGGCGTCTGACACCAATACGAAGGTTTCCCAAGCATGTGGACACTGTTTTGCTTTCAGGCCAGGTCTGTGATTCCTTTTATTCACGTAGATCCAGAGAGGCAGGCACAGAACAGGCGGAAAAGCCCACCCCTCGGCCTGTGCCCCACACAGGAATTTATGAGTACAGTTTCTCCAAAGCCAGCACGTGTCCAAGACTATTTCAATACACCCTGAATGGCTGTTATGCTTCCCAGTATAACAAACCATGCTGGCCGTGACTTCTAGAACTTCTAGTCCACAGTCTCTGCCTCTGGTCATCCATGGAACCAAAGCCAGCCTAGCTCTGCCCTCAGGACAGCACCTGGCAGACGCACCTGGGTCCAGGCTCTGGGCTTGCAGAAGGGGACCACTGTCTTGCAGAGATGAGGTGCCAGATGGCAGGCCTGGCCCCGGGTACAGAGCCACAGGATCAGGCCTGGGGGGCTCTGGGAAGCCGAGTGCAGACCCTGGGGTTCCGTAACCAGGACCTGGCTCCAGATTGCCCAAGGGCGATGGCACTGGGAACATCGGCACCCTAGCGGGGTGGGGTGGCTGGCCGCCAGGGAGAGTCTGCAAAGCTGTGGGGACAGTGGAGAAGAAGGTAAAGTCACTGAGGCCGAAGGAGCCGAATGGCACACTGCAGACAACACATCTCTTCCCGGTTATTTGTGCAGCCACACTCTGACCAGAGTGGCTGAGAACACCCCTGCCAGTGGGGTGCAGCAAAAGCACATTACCTTCCTGGGGTAGGGCAGGGTGGACCCAGACCTGGGCTCCACCCCAGTACGGCTGATGCAGGCCACTGTGTGGCCACTGGGCACTAAGCCCTGCTGGTTTACCAAGTCCTATTCTTCAGTGCAAGGAGGCACAGGCCACCCATGACGCCTATGCACCCACCCACCCAGTGCATGAGCAGGGGCCTGTGCCTGCCAGCACGTGCTGGACACCACCTGCGTGGTGACAGAACAGGGCACCAGGCACAGCAGTGCACATCTGTGGCCTCAGCTGCTTGAGTGGCTGAGTGAGGAAGATCACTTGGGTCTGGGCATTTGAGGCCAGCAAGGGCAACAGCAAGATCCCGTCTCAGCATGATAGAACAGCCCCACAGGGGCGAGCCCAGGAGCAGGTAAGGGAAGCGGTGAGAAGAGCTGTGGAGCAGGTCTGCGGGTACAGAGGGTGGTGTCCGACTGGAGATGTGGGTCAGCGCACGGCGGGATACCAAGCTAGGGCCAGCACAGGAGGTCGGGGGTCTGTGGGGCAAAGATGCGTCCTTCTGCAGGGGGGGAAGCAGTAGAAGGCAGGCAGGGCAGGAAATGTGCTCACCCAACCAGGAGTACATGTGGGGTACAAATGAGAGGAATGGGGTGGCTTTTCCTGAGACAAGGCGGGCAGGGAGAAGCCAGGTGCGGGTGGGTGGTGGGAGCCCTGTTTCGACGCAGGTTTGAGAAGCTGCAGAGAAGCACGAGGCTGAGAGGTGGCCAGAGCTCAGGGCCTGGCTGGCGGGGCAGGGGCGTCAGTGATGGCCAGTGTAAAGACCAAGGACAGAAGCAGACAGCAAGGAGGCCGAGGGGCCTCCAGACACCCAGTGGCCGACAGCATCTCCATTCTCCAGGCAGAAAGCAAAGGCAGACCCTAGAGGGTAGGCTGGGCCACCACAGGACCCACCTGAGGGTGGGAGCTGCCCGCCTGGGCTCAGGCACTCTGGGCCAGGCAGTAGGGATGGCTCAGTCTCCAGCCCCACCAGCTGGCCGAGTCCGGGGCCGTCCAACTGCTCCGCTTCAGAGCCCGGCGTGCTGGGACACTGCCAGGGGTCGGCTCCATCCTGGCTGCAGGGCACAGTGCCCTCCTGAGGGAGGAGAGGCAAGCACTGCAGACAGGGTGCTGCCTGAGGGCACCCGGCACGTAGCCCTCTGCCACCAGCACCTACTCCCCTCTTCGGGAGGAAGGCAGCCACCCGATGCTCATCCTGGGCAAGGAGGGACTCTAAGCACACATGCTGCTAAGGTTACACCCTTGAGATCAAACACCTTTCAGGCAGAAATGGCACAAAGCCCTGGTCACACACTCTGACCAGTCCCCAGGCGGTTCACGGGAGCCGGCCCCTACCTGAATCTGCCTGTGCACATGCCGCAGCTGGACCAGCCACGCAGGCTCCACAAAAGACTCCTCCTCTGGCTTCTCCTTCAGCTGAGGGTCAAAGAGGCGCAGCTGGGAAGCCACCTAGAGGCCCCAAAACACAGCCCCAGTTACTGCCCGGCAACGTGAGGAAGGCTTCCATGTGTCCAGCCTCCTGGCCAGTGCTGAGTGGGAATCACGTGTTCGTGGGCAATGAGAAGCTGGGTGACTAGCGGAGCCGAGGTGGCTGTCTCCACGGACCTGCGCCTCCCTGACCCCATGCTCAGCTGTGGCAAGGAGGGGTGCGATCTCTGATGGTACCCAGGGACTTGGAGGGTATGTGGGGGACGCGTTCTAATAATTACTTGAGGCAGGACACACAGATGTTCATTAATTACTCTGTACTTCTGTGTAGATCTAAAGATTGCCACCGTGCCAAATTTTCATACCTATTACAAGGCGCACTTTCAAAAACAGAGCTACTGGGGAGGGGAACATCCTAACATGTCTGGCGCTGGTGGCTGCCACAGCTGGCATGTGTCTCCACTAAACAGGTGAGAAGAAGCCAGGACCCAAATCTTGACCTCCAGATCAACTGGCTCAAGTATGAACCACACAGAGCCCTTCTGCTGTCGAAACTCACTGCTGAGTTGTCCCAGCACAAAGTATCTGCTACGCTAAGACTGCAAAACACACGATACCTGCCCTGGGCATTTAGTGATGCCACAGGCTCTGGGAACCTGCTAGAGTCAGCATTTATGGCGACGCTGACCCCACACCTGCAACCTGGGCCCAGGCTCCCTGCCATCAGCGCGGCAGCCTCTGGGGAGGCCCTGGACCCACCTGGACCAGCTGGCCGAGCAGCACGGGCGAGTAGATGTCCGGCCGCGTTAGGATGCTCTTGGCGATCACTTCACAGTAGTGGAAGGCCTGGGTGGCAAGTCCCATCTCAGCCAGGCGGCAGGAGTAGATGAATTTGAACACCTAGAGCAATTTAAAGACCCACACTGAGCCTCCGGGTCTCCCTGGTTCCAACAACGTCCTGCAAGCTATGAACTGCTTTCCACCTCTCACCTGTCACTGCTCCCACACCCACCACCAATAGTACCGGTTATCCTGCTCCGACGGGGTAAGGTCGAAGCAGCTAAGCTCCTATGAAACACGTCTGCCTCCCCTGCTGCAGGCTTTTCTTCCTTTCTTTTTTGTGGTCCTGGGAACTGAACCCAGCGCCCTGTACATGTTAGACTAGCATTCTGCCACCAAGCTGCATCTGCAGCCCTTTTTAAATTATACTGTTAGCAAGCTGACCTTGGCCTCCGGAAGGGCCAGATCACAGGTGTGTGCCACCACACAGCCAAACCAGAGAAATCCTCACCTCAGTATGCTTTGTTCTCCAAGCACTATGGATCAACTGCCTCCCTAGGCTGAGGCCCCGAAGCTGTCAGTGCTGGCCACCACCCACACTGGAAGGCTGGGGCCACATCCTCCTGCTTACCTGGAAATTAGGTAAGGAGCAGGTCTGGGCCCCGAGGGACTGAGCATACTCGTAGGCTTCTGTCCGTTGAATAGCTTCATTGGTGGCAAACTTCAAAAATGGCAAGCTGTTGGGAGAGTGAATTATTCAGATTGAAAAAGCGGGCAGCTATTGGCATCACAAACCTTGGAGCGAATCACCCAGGAGAGTGTCCCACCATGTGACTAATCCAGGCAAAAGGCCAGCGATTTCCACAGGAACTACAACACAGGGACCCGTTCCTCCTTAAAGGAAAGCAGACACCGCTCACGGTGCCTCACCTGTGATTTGATCCAATCAAGACGAGCTTTGTGGTTTTCTTCGTATACACCCCAAATCCAACCTGGGCCATGAGGTAGCAGAAGTGCGCAGCATCCAGGAGGCCTTTGGAGGCTGGGAGAGAGAGCAGCCGGCTCAGCCCCAGAGAAGCAGTCATGGATGTGGGTGCTAAGCGAGCGAGAGCCGAGGCCTCGGTGCTCCTGGTGTGGCCCCCACAGCCCGCCCGCAGCCACCCAGGACGGCAGGCAGCCACCTGCGCTGACCCACCGAGGGTGTCGCCCATCGTGGCCATGGTCCTGGACTCCACGTCCACACTGCTGCTCAGGTTGGACAGGACCATGGCAAGGTGTGGCCTCCAGTCCCCCCACTTCTCGTCTCCACAACACTACAATGAGAAGACACAGAAGCAGGCCCTCGCCGGGAGTGCTGCCTGAACACCCCAAAGGCTGGGCCCAGGAGAAAGTGGGAGAGGCGCAGGGCTCACCCCAAGGACGGGCACTCACCGTGGACGCAGCAGGTGTGCGCCCAGACATGAGCTGGTAGAGCGTCTGCAGGGGGTCATTGATGGGAAGGCTGTTGGCAAACCTGGGCAGACACGGGGTGGCAGGACTGACCCTGGCTTCGCGGGCGAGAGCCAGCCCAGTCCCAGCGCTTTCACTCAATCACCACACAGACGCCTGACCTCAGCAAACACACACATCTGCAGCTAGGAAAGCTTCAAAGGGCGCCAGGGGAGGATTTGCTGAAGCTTTCCAGAAAATATGAAGCAGCAGCAGTCAACAAAGACTTTAGAAATCCCTCGCCAGTACAAGCTGCACAGGCCACGCGGGCGTAGCAGACGCCTCCGACACCCTCTGCCGCAGCAGGCTCCACGCAGAGTGCCTACCTGGTCATGACGCGGGCATGGGTCCTGCTGTCCATCTTGCTGGCCAGGAGTAGGGCGTGGCCCCACAAGCCATTCTTCATGGCGGACTCCAGCGCGTCCTGTGAAGGAGTTCAGGGCTCATGTGAGCTGTCAGCACTCCACACTGCTGCAACAGGCAACCACAAACATACGTGCCAGTGGCTGGCGCTCACAGACATGTCGCTGTTCCTCATTGGCCCTTGTTTCCAAGTCCCAGGGTGGGGGGACGAGCGCTGCTCTTATCTCCACCTCAGCGTAAAGACACACAACAGCTGGAGGCAGCAGCACCCCATCCTGGCCATCCCTCTGCCGGGAGCTACATCACTCCAGCTCCTCTACATGCACCTCACAAATGACCAGGCACAGGACTACATTAACGTGGCCCATGCCCAAACCGTCGGGGTGGGGCTCAACACTTTCCAGACAGGAGGAAAAGTGTGACAGGGATGGGGCATCACCAAAAGCTAATAGTTTACACAACCCATCGCTTGTAAAATGCCCGCTTCCAGTCCTACTGATCCAGTATGAGCTTTCAGTGGGCACTGGCACACGCCTATGGTCCCAGCTACTTGGGAGGCTGAGGCAGGAGGATCACTTGAGCTCAGGAGTTTAAGGACAGCCTGGGCATCATACAGCAACCCCATCTCAAAAACACAATTTTCTAAGTTGGGCTGTAGTTCCCGTAGTGACAGAACAATGCTTTAATCCCCCAACAAAACAAAACAAAAATCTCAGCTTTCTGAAGCGATCATGATACAGTGGACAGGGAGCTCTGAGCGCTGGATGCCCCTGCCACGCACAGCCCTAGGCCAGGGTGGCAGAGCCGGCTCCCTGCCTCCGCTCAACTGTTTCGGACATGATCTTGACCGCAGTCCCTCCACTCTGCCCAGCAGACGGAACAGCCACCATGCCATTGCCTGTGTGCCGCTCTGGGGTCTGAGCATGCCTGGCTATGCCGCAGGCTGAGGCTAACCTAGGAGAACAGGTTCGGCTGCCTCCAGCACACTGTACACTGTCGTTCCGACGCTCTGCAGGAAGTAGCTGCGCCAGCCACGGACTTCCTGCTCACACGCCTGTGGACTGAGCTTGTGAGCCCTGACCCGGGCACAGCCCAGAGGGGACTACCTTCCCACCAGAGACGGCCGGCCTGGGCCACAGTGTCCCACACAGGAAATGCCATGACAGGAGGGCTGGTCTCTGCCCGGCGGGGTTCCAGCCCAGACCCACAGTGGCATGGCGCGCCCAGGCTCCTCAAGCAGAGTGGGTACCTTCTTGCGGCCATAGAGCAGCAGCTCCCGGAATCTCTCAGTCTCCTTCTCCAGGGTGCTGGTGGCGGCTGCCTGACTGTCCATGAGGAAGGAGAGCTGGGCCTCGCCAGACTCCTCCTCCTCCGCCTGCTCCACAGGCTCATTGGTAAAATCGATCAGATTTGCCTCATTGGGCGACTTCCCAGGAAGCCACACTGTTCTGTGGTCTCGCAACAAGAGCTCCGCGATGTCTGTTCCCACCACGGTCTGCAGGGTCAACAGGGCCAAGATGGAGACAAGGTTTCCTCCAACACAGCTGCCAGTAGGAGGACGGTCCTCAACTGTCAGAGGAGGGGCCTGACTGGGTCTTCACAAGTGGCACACGTTAGGACACCACAGGACCACAGCTGGACTCGGGACCACCCTCAGCTCACCGCATGCCCCATCTCCCTTCCCGCCAGACTCCCCCACATGCTGCCACGATGCTGTCCTCGTGGAGCCCTGTCATGCAGGCCACCGACAGGGTGAACCCCACCTAAGGCCAGCAGGGAGAAGTGTGGGGGACACCCAGGGCACAGACCCCATTCTGCCGGCACAGAAGGACAATGAAGTTCCAGAGGAGACTCGCAGACTCCTTGTCCAGCAGGGTGTCGTTCTGTAAACACTTTGTCGCTTTGTTCTGTGCAAAGTTAATGACATCCACCTTGTGGGTGTCGCCTCTGTAAGAAGAAGGAGCACGGGTGCCACGGGTGCCACGACTGCAGGCCCAGCTTGGTCGCTGCCACCGAGCCCACACTAGACACCTCCCTGAGAACTCACTTTCCAAGGGGCCCCGGAAACGCACGCAGCTCCTCCTGCTCCGGCGTGTGCTGCAGCAAGGTCTGCAACAACATGGGACACAGCACAAAGCTTGCGGGGCAGCCCAGCCGCCACACGCGAGGGGCGCCCTCTCACTGCCCCAAGGCCCCAGCAAGGTTTGCAGGTAGGCCTGAGACCCATGTGTACACTCTTCCCTGAGAACCGAAGCAGGGCCCCACCCCCTGGGGCAGGAGAGGCCCTGGGGAAGCATACGTTAATATTTAATAACAAGACAGAGAGCTGAGCACAGTAAAACCACGCCTAACGCAAAACAGCAGCTTGAAATGCTGACTTCTGGGAGCACAGACGTGAACAGGGGCACCAAAATCCTCCGCATGGGCACCTCCCACGGGGAGTCACCTCCTGAGCCTGAGTTTCTAGGCACAATGAGTGGCCAGGCCCAGGCCTGCCGTACCTCCATGCTGTGGATCTCCACCAGGGCAGGCTGTCCTTCCGAGGGCAGGTTAGGGATCACCTTGATAAGCTGACCGCCAGGACCAAACCTGGCACAGAGATGTGGCACCGAGAACTTCTCAGGAGACGTTGGCCTGGACGGAACTGCGTTTAGACAGGGGACAAGAAACAAGCAGCCTGTCACTTCTCAGTGCTCTTGCACCTGACCCAGAGCTTCCCCTCCTGGGCGACGGCGAGACAAGCTCAGCCTCAGACTTCAACACAATTGAAGGCCCTGGGGTGGAAAAGGAGATGCTCAGCTGAGGTGATGCCTTAACCAACTGCGGAAAAAGGCCAGCGTCATGGCAACTGCACACATGTGGCTTTGTTCCAATAAAGAGCCCTGAGTCCAGCACTCTGGAGAAGAGGCTGGGACGTGGCACATGGCGCAGGCCTGGAAACACGCATCCCCTCCAAGACTGCTGCGGGCGGGCCAGTGCTGGGAGCACACAGGGTCTGGTGACTGCACACGGGACAGGCAGGCAGCCTTAGACACAGCTGAACTGCAACCAAGGGAGGAGAGAGGCCAAGCTCTCAGAATGGATGCCCTTGTTCTGATCCTGGGCGGGTTACAGGTGGAGCGCCGCACCTTGCTCCACAGCGGGCCAGGTGTCCACAGGATAGCCGTACTCTGCAAAGCCAGGAGCACCGCTGAAGTTGCTGCTGTAGGCGCCGTAGGCGAAGTCCCCGTGAAAGGAGCCCGGGGGAGGGGGGGCCTCGAAGGAGGCGGCAGTCGCAGTGTGGCTTCTGTAGATCTGACTCTTGGAAGAGAACGCAAGCGGGGAGGTGAGCTGCAGGAGCTCTGGGCGCCGGGAGCGGGGTGGGGCCCCGGGGGCGCACCTGGTGGGAGTGGGAGCTGAGGCTGCTGCGGCGGCTGGGCAGGCTGTGCGCCGACTGCTCACTGTGCACGCTGCGCCTGTCCGCCTCCTCCCCGTAGGCGTCCCTGTGGGGCTCTGCTTCGTCGTCGAAGCTCCCGGCGAAGCGAGGGTCGTATCTCCAGTGGTCATCACCCTTCTCAGGCCTGCAGGGAGCCAGCACCAAGACATAGAACGGGAGTGGGAAGGACCCCGAAAGACACCCACTGCAGAGAACCCCCAGCCTCAGGGCCCTCACCACTCCCCCTGCCAAGGCACATGACAATGTGGAGGAACAGGAGCTGGGCCTTGCTGCAACCCCCGCCTCTGGGCTGGGGGCAGGAGGGACACAAGGGGCCCTGGGAGAGAAGGACCTCGACCTGATGACTCCCCAAGGCAAGGCTCGCTTCTCACAGCTGAGCTGGAACCTGGGAGGGTGTGGTCCACATTCCCTTCAGGAAGTAACCAAAGCAGCAGGTGGGGGACTCTAGGGCCACAGCTTTGATGAAGCCCACAACACAAGGGTGGAGTGACAGGCGCACCCAGGCACCAACCTGCCGCCACTGTATGTGTAGCTTTCCTTCCTATGCGGGTCGTACTCAGCGTCGTACCAGTACCTCCGGTCCCAGGTGCGGGGGTCCCGGAATCGAGAGCCACAGTAGCGGTCCCAGCGGCCCGGGTCTATGGGTGAGGAGTGTGGGGCTAGGTGTTAGTGAGCGCCGAGAACCTGGTTCCTTGGAACCTCCCCAGGAAGGGAACGTGCCAGCGTCCAGGTGGACCCCACACCCCTTGGGGAGAGCAGGTGGGAGCCCTGATGTGAGACAGCCACTGTCCTGCTGTGCAATGACACCCTGTCGGGGGCTGCCAGGCTGGTCTCAATACAGTTTTTGGTTAAAAAAAAAAAAAAACTAGCCTGGTATAGTGATGCACACCTGTAATCCCTGCTATTTGGGAGGCTCAGGATGGAAGAATACAAAGTTTGAGCCCAACCTGGGCAAACTAGCACAACCCTGTCTCAAAATAAAAGTTAGCAGGCCAGGCATGGTGGCACACGCCTATAATTCCAGCATTCAGGAGGCTGAGGCAGGAAGGTCACTGCAAGTTCAAGACCAGCCTAGGCTACATAGTGAGTTCAAGGCCAGCCTGAGCTACATATCAAGACCTTGCCTCAAAAAACAACAACAACAAAAAGTTAACTAATAGCTGGGGATATGGATCAGTGGTACAGTGATTGTCTAGCATGGGCAACCCTGGGTTTAATCTCCACTACTGCCCAAAACAAAACAAAACCAAACCTGCTAAAAGTCTTTTGTTTTTCACAGCTACTATTTTTCCTGTGGTGCTGGGGATCAACCCAGGGCCTTTCCCATGCTAGACAAGTGCTCTGTCACAGCTACACATGCCCGGCTCCAATGACTACTCTTTAATGGTTAATCTCAGCCAAGGGTGCAGGAGCATACCTGTCATCCCAGTACTCTGGGAGGCTGAGGCAAAGAGATCGTAAGTTTAAGGCCCACCTGAGAACACTTAGCAAAATCCTGTCTCAAAATCAAAGATTAAAAATAAAAAGGGCTGGGGCATCATTCAATATGAAGGCCTTGCGTTCAATCCTCAGTGGCACACATACAAAAAGTTAACTCCAATTATAAATTTTACTAATATCTCTTCCTGTGATCCAAAAGATTTTAAGAAGTAACTTTAACATTAAAAACTAAGTTTTTTGCTTTTGTTTTGTTTTTTGAGACAGGATCTCCCTATATAGTCTAGGCTGGCCCTGAACTCATGATCCTCCTGCCTCAGCCTCCCAGGTGCCAGAGTTACAGGCATGCACTACTACAGCCAGCTAAAAGCAAAGTTTGAAAAGGAGCATGACTGCTGTGATCAGGCTGGATGTACCACTTTCAAGAAATGTATGCAGAGAATCTACTTAAAACAGGTGTCAACGTTCAGGAGGAAAGAGCCGTCCTGGGAGGCAGAAGGGCCCGGTAGGGAGCACCGCCCAGATGCCACAGGGTCTCTACGGAACTTCCGGCTCCTCCAGGACATGGCTGTCTGCAGCCCATGTGGGGGCAGGCAGGTTTAGAAGCCCTGAGAAGTCCCAGAAGTGTCTCACACTGGCAGTGCAGTGAGCAGACCAGCATGGTCAGTGTGACCAGAGAGGAGCTTTTCACCAGGTCACATCACAGCACAGATCACTGTGCAACAACCAAGGCAAAGAGTTGAAAGGTTGCATCTCACGGAAAGCATTGGTTGACAATGTTCTCACCACTCTGGTTCAAACAGAGAAACACAGCAGAGCGCAGTGCCAGGGAACGCACAAGCTCCAGGGAACATAAGCCATGCACGCATGCTGCGTCCACAGGCCAGCTCTGGAGCACACCTGCAGGCAGGGCACTCTAAACATACCTCCATAGTCATACTGGCTGGAGTAATAGTTTGCATAGTAATCGCTCTGGCTGCTCCATCCATTCTTGGAACTATAGTACCCTTCGGGATACCCTTGCCTGAAAAGCACACAGGGCTGTTAAACACATATCACCCCTTCCTTCAAGGGTAGAAGACATTCACAGTACAGACTTCAAACTACATTCACAGCAGCAGGCATTCATCAAAGCACTCCAGGCTCACGACAAATTCTAATCAGAAAATCCAAATGTGGCCAGGTGCAATGGTATACACCTGTAATCCCAGCTATGAGGGAGGCTGAGGCAGGAGGATTGCAAGTTTGAGGCCAGCCTGGCCACTTACTGAGACGGTCTCAAAAACTAAAAAAACAAAGTAAGAAAGGGGCTGGGGATGCAGTTCGGTAGTATGGTGCCTCTGGGTTCAGCCCCAGCACCTTCAAGGACGAGGTCACCAATTCCCACCGTAAGGCTAACGGGATCCAGCTCAGCAAAATCCCCACATGGTGGCCCTGGAAGTGAGCTGACCCTTCTGGTGTCCAGTGCCACGTCCCATGAAAAAGCTTCTGATTTGCTCAGCAGTAGAAGAAAGTGCCCAGGGTATCATTACTCAGAAGCTCCACTGCCAGCAGCGTGTGTGCCTGGTTGGCCCGGAGTGCCCATGGCAAGTCGGAATGCAGCCCAAGAGCCCCCCAGGGGACCATACTTGGGCCACCACAGCCTGACCCAGTGCCAGCCCCACGCGCCTCACCAAGCCATGGCCCTGCCTCTCATGACAGAGGAGGGGGATTTAGCAACACGATCAGGTGCAAGAGATTCTGGTGCTTTCGATTGGTACTTTTAATTTTCCTAGTGGCAAGTTTTATACACTCTAATTTTTTAAAAGATAACTTTTTTTTTTGGTACCGGGAATCAAACCCAGGACCTTGCGCTTGCCAGGCAGGTACTTGTGCCACTGAGCTATATACATCCGGCCTGCATCTGATTTTTTAAAATGTGACTTCTCATGCCCCTTCAGGGAGGGTCACTTGATGGAATCTGGCTACTTGGCCGGCACACATCTGAGAGGCCCAGCCACCTATGCTCTACTCACCGGGCTGCCCAGCCAGTCACACCCCATCCTGGCTGCAGGCCCTGTGGGGTCGCTCTGTACTGACCTGCTCAGCAGTGACTCGGGGAAAGCCAAGAACTCACCACCTCCTCGGCCCCTCAGCAGCCCTCAGAAGTGGAGACATAAGGCCTGCAGGGACCTGACGAGCCCACATAAGGGCCCCCACTGCTCCTGCCATGAGAACTTGCATGTAGAGCCCCACCCCAGCCAGGCCAGGAAGGGGAGAATGTACATTCTGTCCAGGCTGTGACAAAGTCAGGCTGAGGACACTCCGAGGACCGGGACAGAAGAGAAAGTCCGAAGTCACAGAGAGGAACCTGGCCTGTCACCCTCATGCAGCCACTTCCAGCCTCTCAAAGTGAATTCCCTCACAAATCGGTAGGTAGCAAGGGGAAGACGGGTGCCCAGCTCCACCTCCGCCTCCTGCTCTTGCCTGCCCGCCGCACGGTTCCCTCAGGCTTCCCACTGAAAGCTGCGTTAGAGCAAACCCTGCTTCCCAGGGGACGTGGGGCACCACGGTTTCTCACAGCTTTTTGTTTTTGGGCAGCGCTGGCAACAGAACCCAGGGCCTTGCACATGTGGGCAGGGCTTTGTACAGAGCCACACCCCAGCCCATAACTGAGAGACACAGCCCAGAGCAGTCAGCTGTGCACACCCACACACGCACCTCATGTGTTTGGCGTGCACCTTTGCAGCGAGGTGCACCAGGGCCAGCTAAGTGGGCAAAGGCTCCCAGGCAAGGCCTTCTGATACAATGCTTTTGCACATCAGAACCCGACGTGGCTGCCACGAGGCACTGCTCTGGCTCAGGTGAGGAGCCATGGCAGCAACCAGAGCCCACACTACAGCCAGCTAAAAGCAAAGTTTGAAAAGGAGCCAACTGCACCAATGCCAAATTCTGAGTACAGATCAAGAGCAGCTCCGGGTTATGGGACACCGGCAGACTTCCACCTAGGCAAAGGCCCCTCCATGGAGGGCACTATACTATGACGTTCTCCAAACCTCTCCCCTGCAAAACAGGGGCCCACTCGGCCAGCACAGGACACACAGGCCCGACTCCCACAGCCCTGGGCCTGGGAAGGCAGCCCTGGGAATACAGCACAGGAGCCAGCCTGGAAGAGGCGGGCACCATACACGTCTGTGACTCGTCCCTCCAACCAGGTACAGCAGTCTCAGTCTGAGAGCACTGAACGCCCACCAGCAAGCTGCCTGTGCCCAGAGACAGGGATGAAAGGTGGGAGTGCACAACGCAGAGGTCACGGCTCTTGGCTCAAGCAGGGCCTGGCCTGCCTGCGGTGGGGCCACACGCTTGCAGATCAGCTCAGCGTGGACTACAGGTAGCACTGCGCTCAGCCCAATGTACAACACCGCCTATCATTTGCCGTGCTGACCAGACACACACAGGTAGCAAGAGGCTCACAGAATTCTCTACGGGATTCTCCAATCACTACATCACCATCCTGCAAGCATCAGCAACACAAGCATCAGCCTGGGGAGAGGGAAGCAGAGACGAGGTGCAGCGCCTACCTGGCAGAGGGCCGGTCTGAGCAGTGACTCGCCCGAGAGCTGGGCCGCTCAGGCTCGGGACAGCGGTAGCTCTCGGCGTAGGCTGATGCGGAGCTGTCGTAGGGCCTGTAGCGGTGCTCGTAGAGGGCATAGATGTCCTGCGGGAAGAGGGTGAACATTAGACCCCATCCAGAGCAGCCACGGGGCAGCTCCAGCTGCATACATGCCCCACAGCAGGGCCACAGCAAGCTTCCTTCGCACATACAGAAACCCACTGGTGATGCACGTTTGTCACCCTAGCACGCTGACAGGCTGAGGCAGGAGGACTGTAAGTGGGAGCCCAGACCAGGCAATTTAACAAGACTCTGTCTTAAGAACAAAGTGCTGGAGGTGTAGCTCAGTGAAAATGCCCTGGGTTCAATCCATAAGACCTCCAGGAAAAAAACCCCAACCTACCATGCAAAGTCCCTGTCAACAGCCAGGCAGCAGAGCCTGCCGACACTGCCGGCCTGGCCCTGCATAAAAGAAGAGGCCTCCTGGATGGGCCTGGAGGCCAGTGTGTGGCAGCCAGGTCTCCAGAGGGCACCTGAGGTTTCTGCCGACTGAAGTGGGACGTGTGTCCTGCCTCAGGTGAGCAACAGCAGCAGGAGTCTCTTTGGCAGGTCCTACAGGCCTGGGAAGCCTCAAGAGGACAGGACAGTCTCGTCCAAGGCTCTTGGTCCCATCCCAAAGCCACTAGGTCCCAGCTTGTCTTTAAGGAGGGGTCAAGTGGATGTGGAGCTGGGAAGAGAAGAGCAGTGCAGCTGCAGCCCCAATTCTGCCCACCACATCCACAGCCACCCGCGAACCCGTGTGACGTCACAGGAAGGGGTGTATTCTCCCTAGGACTGGAGACCACGGAGACAAAAGGGAAGGAAGGGGTGCCAGGCTTGGGCTGCCTGGAGAGGGGCCCAGGGAGTACACGGCTGCCCTCACTCCACTGCCCCGAGGCTCCAGTAGAGCAGAACACCCTCGTGATGAAATGAAGATTCCCAGCTCCTTCCTTCCACATCAAGGACACCAGGTTGCAGGGGCCACACGTGCAACTGCTCACATCTATCAGTGTAAGGATGCTCCGGGCCAGGCAGGACACACAGCCCTGGGGCCCTCACAGGGGCTGCTTGTACAGCCCACGCAGCCTGGCTCCTCGGGCCCTCCCTGCAAAGCCTGGGGCTAGCTGCTCCCCACGGTGCAAAAGTCAACCAGCCAGCCCACACACAGCAGGCCCGTGGCTGCCAGTGACACCGCAGTCCACCTCAGAGCCAGAGGTGCAGGAATGAGTGTGCCCACTTAGACTATGCTGTTTCAAACTGCCGCAGGGTTAAAGAGAACCTACATCAAACAGCAGCCATGAGCCTGCATCACTGCAAAAACAGCAAGCAAAGAACACGGCAGGGCCTTCCCACCTCCTGGGGCACCGCCTGCACTGAGACGTTTCAGGGCTTCCCATCCCCCTTTGCTATGCTGTGTGGGTTAGCCCTCCAGATCTAACCTGTGCCCCTCAGTATTTTCTTTTCCTTAGGAGAAACTAAAACAACTCTAGTTATTCCTGTTGCTTCCTACACTGGCTGATGCCAAGCTTCCAGGGGCTAAGCCCACTTCCCAAAGTGCACAACATGAAGCTGTGCTCTACAGTGATCACCGGGGTTCCAGAAAACAAGGGGAGCTTTCTGTCCCCTAACTGGAAACACCAGGCTACGCATAAAAGGCACCGCTAACCGTAACGCAATGCTAATGCTCAGTAGGCACCCTTAAGGGGTGCGCATGACCAGAGAGGACTTCCAGCAGCACTGTGTGGGTCTGGACAAACAGGTCACTGCCCGGAACACAGGAGAGGAGCCCGACAGGTAAAACAAGGGAGAAAGATGATGGCGGCGCCGGTGGTGGCAGCGTTCACTTTACCTGGTAAGAGAACGAGGCTGTCCCAGGGTCCGACGGGTATGGTGCTGGGTACTGAGCTTGGTAGGCATCATACAGGGGTCTGTAATAGTAGTAGGATGCCAGGTCCTGAGGTGGTGGGCCAAACGCACTCAGAGGTGGTGGCTGTAGCCATGGCTGCTCAGGCCGCACTGCTGCCTGGCTTGAGTCAGTGGAAACAGCCGATGCGCTGGAGGACTGAGGGGGCCGAGGCAGGGGCTTCTGGCCCGAGTCAGCCAGGGCCGAACTTGCTGGTGGCTGGGCTGAGTTCTGGGACTGTCCTTGTGTCAGGGGACTTTCTGCATTTGAAGCTGCTTGGGGCGTTTGTGGGGGAGAAGCCTGCACCTGAGGGAGCACCGCCTCTGCCTGGGCTCCGAGGCCTTGCTGGTCCTGGTCATCTTCCCTCACCTGCTGGTAGAAAAGGCCTGGATTACGCGCCCCAGGCACAGGCTGTCTGGGAGGGTTGGTGGCAGCCTGCTGAGCGGCTGGGCCCTCCAAGTAGGACGGGCTGTACAGTCTTACAGGATTTTCCAAAGTTCTGCTCAGTGTAAAGTCTAAGGCTCCAGTGGCTTCTTCCTGGTTACTGGAGTGATTTGCCTTCAAGCTGCTAGGCACCAAGGTACTGCTCGCAGGGGGGACTAACACCACACCTGTGCCTCCAGCAGGGCTGTTAATAAACTCAGGAAGAAGCTTTTCTGAATTCTGAGTCCTCTGCCTTTCTGGAAGCAAGGTCTTAGAAACTGGAAGGGATAGTGGCTGCACAAGCAAATTAGCAGGCTGATTAGAACCCATTTCAGAAGAGCTGGACCCCTGTGGAATATTACTGACACCATTAGGCAGAGACAAGCCAACCGCAGCACTGGGTGCGACCCTGGACAAAGCAGCATGTTCACCAGAATCAGTGCCGAGGGCCCGGCTGCTCACTGCGGATTTGTCCCCCAACAAAGCCTCTCCCCAGGACTGATTCTTCTCGGTAGGATTCGGCAAAGACGCAGAAAAATTAATGGGCTGAGCCAAGTTATAGCTTTGATCAGGCTGGGCAATCAGGACGGGCTGATTTTGCAAAGCCTCAGTGGGTGGCGAGGACAGCAAACTTGCGTAACTGGAACTTGCCTGGCACTGAAGGGATGCGTGGCCACCCACCTTGGGAGGGTTCTCGAGGTTCTCTGAAGCACTCAGGTGAGCTCGGCTCTGCAAGGGGTGGGCAGGGGCTGGTTTCCGCGACTGCTGCCCAGGCAGCCTCTCTTCTGGAGGCTGAACGACTGCTAGTGGCTGAGGCTTTGCAGGTACATACAGTGCAGGAGCCGCGGGGGCTAGGAGCACGTTGCCACCAAAGTCTGGCAGCTCATTTTGTGCCCAGAGGGTCGTTGCGGGGCTCTCACACTTCACGGACCCTTGGGCCCTGGCTAAGGGCCTCTTCTCTGGAGTTGGGCGCACCATATCCAAGGGGGGTGCCACTGTATGTCCAGCTTCCCCAGTCGGGGGAAGAGGCGGGGGGCAGGCCTGGGGTGCAAACAGTGTCTCCATGTTGTCCGGCGGCTGCTCCAGGTTGCCTGGGGAGGCGTCAGGTGGTGCGGTCACAGGTCTGTGCTTCTTCATGCTGTCACCGACGCTCCTCACTTCACCCACCACGTTGGCACGATCTGCCTCAACTGGCTTCACCCCAACTGAATGGGATTTTACTGGCTCAAAACAACTATTTGCACTTGTCTGGAATATACCTGTAGGTTTGGGTGGGCTTGGAGTGGAAGGCTGAGACAAAGTGCTGTAGTAATTCTGGTTCCCACCAATCTCCTCTGAATCGCCTCCCACAGGAGAAGAATCAATTTGCTTAAAAAAACTGCCTGTCGTTTCATCTTCGGGCTTTCCCACTTCCTGCTGGATGAATGTGCCCACCAGCTCCTGGGACCTGGCCGACCCAGGGAGACTCCGGTGGCTCTGGCTGCTGTAGCTGGATGACATGCTGTCAGATCGAACTGGGTGCACGGGTGTGTCCGGGGCCTCAAGGTTCAGTGCCCCACCGCGGGTGAGGCCCACGGTACTATGCCTGGAGACAGGTGGTCCAGGAAGGAGCCCGCGTCGGAACGGATCACTTGAGGAGGAAGCATCCAAACTTAGGGGCTCCTCCGGCAGCACTTCTTGATTCTGAATAAATTCTAAGTTTTCAACATTCTCATACTGTGAGCCACGAGCATCACAGGTCCCTGCACTCACTGTGTCACCCCAAGTGTCACTAGCAGCACTGTTAGTGGTTTGTTTATCATTTTGGCTGCCTGCAGAATGAGAGAAATAAGGCTGTGTGCCTCCTTCCTGCTGTGTGGTCTCACTGTGGGAGCCCTGAAGAAAGGCCTGAGGGACAATACCAGCCCCATGTGCAGGGCGGAGCAGGTGGCCCAGTCCAGGGCTGGGGGAGAAACCATCGAAGTCCAGGTGGCCAGCTGACCCTGCCTTTTCGGATGAGAGATTCTCCTCATTTTCTGTCTCTTCCCCTTGGAAAAACATGGAGAGCGTTCCTGAGGCTGTTTCCGCTGAGGCTTGGCTAGTCCCAGGCCCTGCGGGATAGTGGATGTGGTTTTCAGGACTATTTCCCTGAGTGAGGGGATTCCCAGGGGCAGGGTCCCGGAAATGCTCTTTCACTTCTGGATTCGCTCCTGGATTCTGCCTGAACTCCTGGCTTTCCCACATATTCTCGACCCTGGGATTGTGCCCGAATGAATTTTCAGGGTGGAAGTTACCTACTGAGTGGTTTCCACTTTGCAAGGGGGCTGCCTCGTTTCCTCTGCCACTGGCCAAAGGGGTCAGAGGAGATGCCAGCTGGGCATGGGGCTCGCAGCCAGAGCCATGGTGCAGGCTTGATGGGGCAGGGAGTTGGGGAGTACTGGTGGCTTGGGGCCCCACACTCTGGACCAGTCCTTCTGGGCCAGGTGAATGATACTGCTGGGAGGGCTGGGGGCTGCCCTGCACTGGTCCCCACTGCGCCGGTGTAGGTGGCCCATGCTGATGGGCCCCATGAGACTGGTCAGGCCCTCCTCCTGGAATGTAGTGGGATGGATGCAGCGGGGCAGTCAGAACTTCAGGTCCTGAGCTGGAACTGACTTCGGCACTCCTGCTCATCTCATGCCCGGGCAGCGATGGAGAGTTGGACACACCAGCAAATGGATCTGTGCTGAGCTGTGACAGAGGTCCTGCCAGAGGCTCCTGGGGTCCTCGGGCACTGTCCCCAGCACTGGCATGAGGAATAGGCAGGCCAGGCCACTGAGAAAACATTGGCAGGGCTGGGTCATTCCTGGCAGGAAGGCTGCTCTTGGGTGAAGTATTCAGAGGGGTGTTTTGGAGCATCTGTCTACTAAAAGCAAACGGATCCGTGACTGGCTGCAGTGGACAAGGTGGAGCTGCCAGGGCACTACTACTGACTGGCTTCCTGTAGCCGCCGCCACTACCCCAGAACATGCTCCGGGAAGTCCCAGCCGGAGGGGGTCCAGCCACACCAGATGGGACCGTCTGGGGTGGCGGCTGCATGATGGGTCTCCTACACAGGAGGTGCTGCTTACAGAGGCAGGGTAAAGCTCTTCCTTAAGATGCACTGGAAAAGAAAAAGAAAAAAATGAAAATGAAATCCATATATTTAAACCACTGACTACAATCAAGAAAACTATGAGAAAAGAAAAACTAGATACAGCTCAGAAGTAGAGCACTTCCCTAGTGGGCACAGAGCCTGAGGTTTGATCCCTAGGACCGCCAAGAGTGACAGGGGGATGCGAGGGCTACACATGACCTGAAGTCAGTCATTCATTCATTTATGGCGTGGGGGGGTGGGAATTGAATTCAGGGCATTGTGCTTGCCAGGCAGGTGCTGAGCCGCTGAGCTATATCCCTGGCCCTCTGAAGTCATTTAAATCCTGAGGACAACCTTGGTCCCGGACTCCAACCCAGCAGAAAACATTCATCCTTGCGAGCTGCTCTGGGGACTCTGGAGGGAGTAGACACAGGAGGACTCACCCGGCTTGGCTACTAGCTGGTTAAATTCAGACAGCCCTCTCCCCTCAGAAATTGCCTATGCATCCTGCCCACTGCCTCCAGAGTCCCTTACCAACATCTGGGGGATGCAGTCTTCCGTATCCCCAGAAAATGCTTGTTAATCTTTGCTATTTCCCCACAAAGCATTGCTAGGTCCAGAGAGAAGCAACTCCACTATTAGGAAAGGAACACCACTTATCATACTTTTCAGGTATGCTAATTTTAAATCTGGAAAACAAGACTGAACTTTGTTCTTCCGGTTTCTTTAATGAAGAAGCATTATACAGTACAGAGTGATAAAAGCTACTAAGTGTTTCCATCTTCCTGGATACAATGTCTCACTTCTTGCACAGTGACTAGTTTCCTTTGAAAACACTGCAACAAGGTTGCCTGTGACCCTAGAAATTGTAACTAAGCCTAAAGAGGAATCCCTAGGAAATTCAGGGCAGATTCAGAGGGGCTGACTGAATTCACAAATTTCCAACAGCAGGAGATCAGACTTCTGGAAAATAAAGGGGCAAAATCCTCACCACCACAACAGTGTCTTCTGTTGTTTGGCTTTGAATAAAATACAGTACTGTGATCTTGACTAGCTAACCTGTCCTTTCAAGGGAAAAATTCAAGTTCTGCACCTTTAAAGTCCTTATCTTTGCATCAGTATGTTGCCCCAGATCTGTTTAGCTAATTCAAGAGAAAATTAAACCGAAGGGAGAAATCTTGGGAAGCCTTTGGAGTTTAATCCACACACCTCTTAATCCTCAGAGTCTTTCTGATAAAAAGAAAACACTGATGTCTGTATTATAAATAAAGGCCACCATTTATAAGTAAGCTTCTAGTCCCTTCCCAAAAACTAGTCCTGTTGATCCTTTAATTCACTGATATTAGCCAGGTGTGGTGGGGCATGCCTTATGATCCCAGCTACCCAAAGAGGATGAGGCAGGAGGATCACAAGTTTAAAGCAAGCCAGGGGAACCTAGTGGGACCTTGTCTCGAAATAAAAAGGTTTGGGTTGTTGCTCAGTGGTAGTGTCCTTGAGTTTGATACTTGGCCCCAAGAAATTTATTAAAATAAAAATAATTCACTTAACACTGCCCATATGATCAACAGGGGATCCTTTCCAACTGCAACCTCACTGCAAATCCACTCAACTTCAATGCATCCTACTCAGATCAATACCAGAGCTCTCACTTAGTTCTGAGCAGTCATCTTAGGATGATACAACTTCACCTTCCAGGGACCAGAGGTAGAAGCCCAGCCGCCTTCCCTCAGCCTTCTCTGTTTGCCCACCCCGCGGCAGGCCACCATGCACACAGGAAGTCCTCCCACCGAGGGCAGGACACAGACTTGTACGTCCCTCCTGAACACTGGCTGCAAAGAAGGACGGGCTTCCCAGGTCGTCCTTCAATACAACACTCTCAACCACCCCATGCAGGTTATTTACTTATTTATCTAAAAGATCTAAAATAAAATGTGATACAGAGCACAGACTCAGAGAATTGGTTCCTCAGGAATTACTGTGACAGTGAGCCTGAGTGTCCAGCTAGGCGGCTCAGGGAAGCCTCTTCTCTTCTGAGACACACTAGGTGGGAGATGCACACAAACTCCATCCATAAAATGAGAGAATACAATGACTTTTTCCTAAGGTCACTGCTGGGTTTAATCTAACAAGCAGGGCTGGGGATACAGCTCAGCAGCACAGCACTTGCCTGGCAAGGGCAAGGTCCTGAGTTCAGTTCCCAGTGCACCCCCGCCCCTGAAAAAAATCCTACAAGCTTGTACTTAGGGTGGCTATTTAACAGGAAATCTTTTTTTTTTTTTTGGTTTTTCTCCGGTACCGGGAACTGAATTCACGACCTTGCTTTTGCCAGGCAGGAGCTTTTGCCGCTGAGCTAAATCTCCAGCCCCTTTAACAGGAAATCTTAAGACTTAAATGTTTTCCCTGCAGAAATTTAAGATTATTTTCTCAACTCTACTAAACTAAGACCTGTTTTATAAGCAAACATTACCACCTAGAAAGGAGCCCCCCCAGCCCTCAAACTGCAAATGACAGCTCTGTAGCAATAATGCCAGTTTCACCTGGAACAAGCTTATGACTTGAACATTATTCTTTTCTTTTCTTTTAAATTTTTTCATTATTCTTTTCATCTTCCTCTCTACTCACCAACAGGAAAACAAGGAACTGCCTATCACTTAAACTCAGGACCACAGTAAATTTACTGTTTCGAGTCGTCTAACCCCAACAGGCACCTGTTTGGGAGACCAGCTGATCCTCTTTAAGATGTATTATTCATAAACCCGGCTCTTTAGCTCACCTGTCTAGTACCTATGGGAGTTCTTACCCAAGGCCATCTGCAGCATGAGTCTCTGACCACAGGACTGGGTATTTAAAACACACAGCTCCTCCTCCACCACTCCCGCACTTTTTCTCACTGCCACTAGCCTCCAGCTCTCCCTGTACAAACCCAAAGGAGCAGCAAGAAACAGCTAGTCTCTGATTACACTCTCCCTCACAGCGACTGTCTGCTAGTGACCCCATCACACTAGGGACACGTGACAAGGCACAATCCTCCCAGCTAGAACTGGAACCGAAGACATTCAGGTGTTGGACAAGGCGGAGGAGCCTAAACACTGCTAAAAGTGACAGACCCACGAGGACACTCTGACACTCACGTAGGATGTCCACGGAAACAAAACGGAGTCATACTACAGTGCACCCAGCACCTCAGAGAAAAGTTCCAGGACAGCATGAAGATTCACTACTACGAGGGGAAACCGAGTTCCAGAAAAAGAACGAATCACCACTTTGCCTCATTTGTTTGCAAGACACCACCAGCACAGAAACTTTGAAAGAGGCTAGGAACAAAAACTGCAGGCGAGCTGCATTATGCTGAAACTTCAAAAAGTACCACGCAGAAACTACAGCCTGTGGTTCCGCTGCTTCTTACTACATGGGCTGGCTAACACCTGCCTCCTACAGATTTAAAAGAAATTCTTAATAAGCAATCCACCCCCAATCATACCAGCCGTTTAGAGACGTTTTTAAGCGAAACAGTAAAAACTGATTCCAAGTGGCTTAGCGTGTCTGGGAGCTCCGCTGTAACACCTGCATTCCTCTACCCCTGATGGAGAGCACCGTCCTCGACCTCCCTTGCGACATCCTGGCCACCCTGCCAAGAGATTACAAATAGGTATATCGCTGCTCCTTGGTGCAAACGTCAGTGAACCCACATCGCTGAAGAAAGTCTTCCGGCCAACGAACGCCAAACACTTTCAGAACCTCTGACACACAAAAAACACGCTCAACCGCCAGAAACTTCCTAGCGTCCCTTCGTGCGAAGTGGGGGTTCTGCGCGCCGGCCGGGCCCTGACACCTCTGGGAGCCCGGTGGCCCGCGGCGGCGACCGCAGCCCCTCCGTGCCGCGC